CAAACCTACATGCAAAAGACAAGTCGCGGGAGCATTTACGAGCAAAATAACGGAACCTCGCCAAACGCCCCAGAATGCACGGCTTCTTATCGTCACAATTGCTACAGCGAGCCAGATGTGGAACGACAGAGCAACTCTCCGACTTCTTGCTGCGCACACAAAAGGAACAGGGGAGACCAGCAGCAGCAAGGATGGGCCATAAAGGATCATCGAGTATGTACCGCACCAGAGAAACACCTACGCCAAAAACCGACTTGAACAGAGTTAAGTGCCCCAGAGGGGGATCTTCTATGGTGCTTGCAAGTTCGTCAAGGTCGTTCTCACCAGTCACAGAGGGAGGAGGGGAAGGAGAGGGAGGTGTGGGCATTGGTGGAGCTACAACACGGGAAGTGGATTCAACAGCAGTGGAGGGTGTGGACATCGCAATCGAGTTGGACTCTGATAATCGATGAAGGGGGCGGTAGGAAGAAAGAAGGAACTGGAAAAGGAACTTGTAAACGAAAAAGTTCAAGGCCACGTGAAAGGCACGTGACTTATCCGACACAACCTCCTCGGAGGCTCGGAGGATTAGACGGGGGGTAATGTCATGCGCTGGCTCCAAGCCACAACGCAGTACTCCTCCCTTCTTTATCCCAAGTAACACCCCGAACCTCCCTCTTGCCTCATGGGAACCTCCCCTCCCTCCCTAGACGCCATCTCGAAACCTCCTCAAACCGTATCCGAGAACCCGATACCTCCACAACCGCCACCGCTTGACAGACCCGGGAACTCATCCACGCACCCATCAGCCTATTCTCATATATCTTAGATCATCCCCTTTAGATGTCCACTTCACACAATGTTCCCCTGATCCTTTCCTCCTGTCTATATAAGTACTCGTATATCCTAAGGATCCCCAGCTTGGTATATTTTGAACACACACCCTTTACATAGGTCCAGTCCCTGTCCCTTTGTACCTGCTACCTATACGGAATTCTCTCTACTCTCTGTTTCTCTACCTCTGTTTCTCTCTACTACTGTCTATTGTCTCTCTGATCGTCTATACGATCGAATATACGCTTTTACTTCAAGTCTAAGCCTTCCGAGTGAGTCTCCGAGCTCCCTCGAACATTACTAAAGCTCCCCAACGCCTACCCGCTTGGTGAGCTACCCTTCCCCAAACCTCCCAGAGCTCCCTAGCTACTTCGTAAGCTTCGGGACCTCGATCTAGGTAACGTCGAATCTACCCCTCACGTCGAACTACGTATTGCTTCTCCGTTACCACCTCCCACACTCGAGGACGACCATCCTCAAACCTAGCCCCCAGGGACCTACCCTCCCTGGCGTATCCCTTCTCGGGAGCTTACACCCTCGAGACCCAGTTGCATAAACTACCTACTCGATCCTATATTGACGTTCTAGCGAGTACAACTCCTACTACGCAATATCGTACGGTCCCGCACTCTTCCCGAACCTCCCTACACGTTAGGGACCTCCCTGGACCTCCGAGGAACCCCTCAAGGGTCACCCTCTCGTCGTTCCAACCACTACTAGGTCATTCCCGTCCTCGGTCGCGGTTCTCGTAGCTCCCTTCGAGCTCCAGCCTGCTCCTAGCACGCTACAACATAAACCTCCACATACCAAAACCTACCCTAAGACCCATTTTGGCCCAGGTCTTACAGTCGGCTTGTTGCACCCAGCAATGTTCCGAGGCTCCCGAGTCAATGAAGGTCTGTATGCCTGGTATTGCTGGAGAGTATAAGGATGTATTTCCATGGCAGGCTACACAATCCCCTTTTGTTACAGTGGTCAATCTAGTTACGTCCCTATCTACGTCCCTCCCCATGACCTCCTGCTGACCCGTTCCCCCTAGAACAGGATCGTTTTGTCTGTTTGCGGAGTCAGCGGTCAGCTGGGATCCCTGGATAGATTTGTTTTGTGTTCACTTCTGGATGGATGGACATTACATATGTTGCCATGGGGTAGGTAATTTCAGTGCCATCTGGGCTCACTGTGTTCATATTTGTCCCGTTTTTCTGTTTGTTGGGTTGGTTCTGTTTTGGCCACTGTCCCTCCATGCCCCCTCCCTTTGCCCAGCATTTTCTCGCTATGTGTCTGGGCCTGTTGCAGTTGTGGCAAGTGAGGACCATCCGGCTGTTGGTTTGAGTTGGATTGTTGGTGGAATTCACTGCCATCAGCGCTTTGACGCGCTTGGTGTCATGTTCTTCCTCCTTCCACTCTTCTTCTTTCTTGTACCACAGCGTGTGCAGATAGGCAAACACATCTGCACTTGAGGCTCCAGGTATGCTCCGTATGTCCTGTCTCCAGTTGGATGGCATGGACAAAATCACGATCCGATGGAATTGGGCATCTGTGGCTGTACCTCCCAGGTTATGTACTTTCTTGATGAGGTTCCGCATTTGCTTTTCATGGTCCTCCATCGTCAATTTCACTGGATTGAATTTCTCTTGTTGGATGTTCATGTCAGCTAGGTATATACACTGTTCATTGCATTTTTCGAATCTTTTGATTAGTGCTGTCCAGGTCTCCGATGCCCTTTTCGTTTCGTCTATCCCCAGGCCTACGGGGTTGGTGATGTTTGATACAATGGCTCCAGCGATGAGCCTGTCGCAAGCCTCCCATTCTTCCAGACATGGTGTTGAGCTAAAGAGCGGAGTAGTAGTCTGTGCCGATGGGTATATCAGTCCAGGGTAACTATTTGGTCTGGGTATCATGCCGTCGATATACCCTGTCAGTCCCCTTGACTGCACTGCAAATAGTATTTCTCGCTTATACAGCCTCCAGTTTTCCTTGCCAACGAGCTGTTTCTCGTCTGGAAGTCTCGGTATGTTCGGGGTATTTCCGAACAACATCTCGTGTACTGATACCTGTATTCAGTTCCTTTTTAACTCAAATAACCTTTGTTCTAATCAGAACCGAGTCTCATAATCTGTTAATGTGTGATCTCAGTTGTCTGTTCTGTGTAGTAGATACCCTAGGACTCACCTCAGTTGTCTGTAAAGCAACTGAGGTAGTCGATTCGCCGCGCCATGGGATATAAGTTCGTACTGTACAGTATTTGGTAATAACGCCGTTTACACAATCGCGAGGTATTGTACATACGTACGGAGTATACTCTAACAACAATATGTGTGATTGTTTGTTCACACTGTCTATGGGCTAAACAGCCAGATTACAATCATATAATCCTAGTATCCAACAATGCCTAGGCTACTCCAATCGGCCTCCTCGTTGGTGGGGAGTTCTGCATGGCTTTCTAGCATCGCCAAAAGTTTCAGTGGACTTCAACTTATATTGAAACAATAGTGAACATACCCCAAGGCACACAAATTACATATATCCCAAGCTTTCCACTGCTATCTTTGTTTGCGAGTAAATAAGGAGGGATGAGCATTTGCACATGGCTTTCTCGGTCATCCTCCCCCCAGATCCCAGAAGTAAGGATGACTTTGTGGATATTTCTTTCCTTCATGTTTAACTGGGTCTTGATCACCTGCTCCCTCACTGGGCTCTCGCGCTCCTAGAATCAAGCAATATCTTAGTGTTGTATCATCTTGAGAAAGCAAGTACATACATCATGGTCTAACCACAACTATAAGTGAGGAAGACACTGAGTCTTGGCCGCTGCCTATCAAGAATACAAAAGGAACTTCACCTTTTTGGTTAATGCGAGCTGTGTTGCATCAGCGTAAACTGCACACTAAGGACGGAGTAATTTGTCTTATTCACTGGGATCAACATAAAAAATAATTGACTAACCACATAATCCGCAGTCCAGTCTCCCAGTCTCCTCGTCAGGTATGCTCCTTTACCTAACTGGTCAAAAGTTGTATGTGTATACACCAGTCTGTGTTTACGGTTGTAACTAGCTGCTGTTCTCTTCCGAAGATTCAACATAAACTCGACTGATCATGAGAAATAAGGATGGGGACATACCGAGTCGATGGCTCTTCAAGGTTCCCAGTTCAATGACAAGACCAATTCTCATGCACATAGACATACCTATATCCAAGGAATACTTTCTTCGAAAGGTCCTTTGGCATGCGCTTCACTATTAACGGCGAAGCAAAGGTCCCCTCCAGAAGTAACACGAATCCAAGCAATAGTTTATTGAACGAGACGTGCATTGGCGGATGTAGGTTGTGAGGAAGCAGAAGCAGTAAGGGATGAAGAAAGCTGGAGGCCGGCTCTAGCTCTTGTACGGTACCGTTATGAGGGGAAGGAAGAAACGACGCATCAGCATCTTATATAATAATATAACTTCGAGTTGCAATAGGTTGTAACGGATCGCAAAACGTAAAGTTTGAACCCCGCCGGCCCCGCCTACGATGATACTTTCAGACCCGGTTGTTGACAAAATCAGCACATCAGCGACGGAGATAGAGCTACATATAGACGACGAGCTGTGGGGAAAATCCTGAAACAAGCTGGTGATGGTCAAGAGGCTAGAGAGGATGATTGTTAAGCAGGGCAAATGGGGCGCTGGGTGTTCTATTATAGATAACCAGTTGATGAAATACGGGCAAATTCTCCGGGCTCATTACAGTACCGTAACCTTAGCTAGGCTATGCCGAGTGCGGAAGGTTGGGCAAAAGATTTTACGCACTTTGTTACATCCAGCTTACATCTGGTGTCATAATTGATCTGGGTTTGTGAACCGCAAAGGCCAGTGTGCTGCGGCGTACAGGATGAGAGGGAGAACATTTATGATCGGAAAGCTCTCTTTGCCGCAGGAGGTCCCGACTAATTAATTGATCTTTTTCAACACTACCAGAACACTACATAGTTTGTATGGATAAGGACCCCGTCTTAGCACGAACAACAGCAGACACAGATAGACAGAACAGAAATACTCAAGACTCAAGGGCATCCACTGAGCACTCCTCCCACATTTTACCTAAAACAGCAGTAAGTGGATCCAGCGCCGGGCCTCGTTGACTGTAGGCTGCGGGGGGTAGGAACATGAAGTGTCGATGAAGGAGTAGGTATCTTTCTCGCGCTTAAAATTGACCATGGACACATAAGATTTCAGGGTCACACACGTGGTGATAACTGGCAGTGATTTCACTTTCCTTCTCTCGTTCATCAGTATTTTGTGAGTTCTGCGTTCTCGTCGTAATATCTACTCATCACTTACCGCAGCCTTGTAGGTTTTCGACCTGGCAGCCCATTTCCTTGCATCTTGAGGTTTTTTTTTCGGTGTTCGACGGTCAGATTCGGTATGCTTTGTCTCCACATAATTCTTGCTAAGAGAAGATTAACTTTCTATGTTTCCTTTTAGACGCATGCTAATAAACTGATACTATATCTCTAATATATTGCTCTATTCGCCTGTTTCTCCTTGTGTGGCAAAATCATCTATGTCGTCCTATCTTAATCAGGGTGATATAGTCAAAATTCGCGAAAACACTCAATCTTCATTACGTTCTCGATCCGCAAGAACCTCCATCTCCTCACCGATTCCCTTGCGCTCTGCTCTAGCGACAGACACAAAAGTACCCTCGACCCCCACTTCCAACACAGGCAAGGGCAAACGCAAAGCTGAGGAGGTCGAAGGAAATACTCCCCCAGATGTACGGAAACAGCGAGCCACTTTTGCAGCAGATCCACGTCGTGAGTAAGACTCTAAGTATTAAGTGGCTGTTGACTCATATGCTTTGTGACCTTGTAGCTCATCGCGGATCAGGAACCTCAAGCTCATCTCAAGCGCCTTCGTCTTATACTCGCAAACGCGCGAGACTTTCTACTGCAGCGACTACCTCAGCCGCAGGGCTTGCAGCGACGATGACTGCTCTGGGAGAGAACGAGGTCACAGGCTCGAGATCATCGTCGCGTTCAGAAGCCCAACGAAACCAGAACGCGGCTACTACTGGAACATGGAACTCCACGCGAAGTCGCACTGCTAGCATCATGCGGTCCCAATCCCGTACCTCCCACCGAAGTCAGAACACGCCCATCTCGCGTCCCCTTTCCGTCGCACCGTCTAAGCGCGGTAGTATCTCACAAGCTTCTATTCCCATTTCTGCCTTGATATCACCTCACGCACCATCCATATCGCACCGGCCTGCCTCAACCTTTCATATGCGTGACCCACGCAAGCCGCCCAAAATTCAGCCCACACCGTGGACACCAGCACTTCCTCGGACTGGGTACGGAGAGCACGGCTATCTCAGGGAACGCGTTGCTTCGATATTGGAGTCAGGATTTGTTTTGAGACGTCGAACGCAGGACCCGGAACATCAGGAGGAGAACTCTGCGCCTGTGGGATGGTACGAAGGAGGAGGCAGTCCACCTCATGCTTGGCTGTTCTTCCTAGGATTTATCATTTTCCCCGTTTGGTGGATTGCCGCATTTCTAAAAATCCCTAAGACAAGAAGTATTGAAGGCGGCCATGATGGTCAAAAATCGGTTATACTGGACGATCCCCAAGTCGAACACGGTAAGCTTGTTCAAGTCGGAAATTTAGCCCCATTGTTCAATTTATTTTCCCTTATCAGATGCAAGATCGTGGCGTAAACGATGTCGAATCATGAGTGCAATGTCCCTAGTGACTTATATCCCCTTCATCATCCTTGTTGCCATCTTTGTTCCACGGTGACGACCATTGGCCTGCTCCATTAGGCCCCATCTATTATATCTGTTTCTATATCTCGTTCCCCTCAATCTCCTGTATCATGTTTACACAGACCGCGTCTTTACAAGCTGAACCCGAAACTGAAAACTTACCCTACCCTGATATGCACTTTTGCACCTCCCTTCTCCCATTCCCCGCAAACCCTTCATTCAGCGCACTCGCTGTTAAATTCCACAATTATACCAGCTCACCATCCCCACCCTCTTTTGATATCGACCCTCTTTTGAACATATCTGTTGTACGTATGCCATATATCAACAATCTATGTACCTGTACGGTTTAATCGATTACCCATTGTAATCACCTATTCCGTTGTGAGTTTGAAGCCCCATTATCTAATCCTTGGTTGAATGTTGAAAATTGAAATATGATAGCCTTGTCGACAAAATTAATGTCTACGTACGCCACAACTACTGAAGACGTTGGATGCTCAGACACTGAGATTCCAAATTGTCTCAAGCGGCACCCATCGACGAGTATTCAATATTTAATGTTTGTACTATCCAGCCAACCATTATCATGAACAGCAAGGGAAGGGAGGGTCGACTGGATTACTTCTAAGCTGATCCTAAGTACAGTATAATTACTCGATTATTGAATAATATTAAATATGTGTAAGTAGTTCCATTGGCTCAAAGAACTCACAAATCATCGTTGTTATCCAATCCTTGAACGCACTCCAGCGTTGGAAATGTCGGTTTCTTTCCTTGCCTCAGATCCTCTGTAGCACGTCTCTCAAGCATCCGACTGCGTTCCCAATCAACAGCATTATCCTGCCCATTCCACGTAGGATTATTGCGAATCTTCTTGTCGAACTCCTCTACCCGTCTTTTATTCATCTTCATTTCTGCAGAGGCATAGTCTACCGAAACTGTCTCTTTCAGCCGTGCGTGATCCCGACGTTGCTCTAATTTTAAGCATTTCGCTTCAAATGCTGGTGGTACGTTGGGAAATAGGGCCGACGCTGCTTTACGAGCGGCGCGTAACTGTATATCAAGCAACTCGGATTTATTGCGGTGCGGAGAAGATCGACAGACCCGAACGTATGGATTACGTCTAGAACGCGAAGGTGAAATGTGCTTGCTGGTTATGAGAGATGGAATGGTCACAGCCGCCCGTAATACTTTTGAAGATTCAATCCGCGGTGAATTTGAGGCACATTGAACACGATTCAAGTTTTTTTGGTCACTTTCCCGCGACAGGAAGCCAGCATCATTGGAAGACAACACCAAAGGATTCTTTGGACTATTCGAAGGACGAGAGATATTTTTCACTTCCTTCAAAGGTTGATCCAAGGCTTGGGGCTCCATGTTAGGTATGTTAGGTACTTCTTTGAAGCGTTTTCTAGGTCTTTCCTCACTGGCGGCGAGGTCGGTGATTTCAGGTTGTCGCGATGCTCGTTTTCGATTGTTCAAGGGGCTTGACAACGGCGGGGAACTGTTTACCCCACCCTTCGTAGTCCCACTGCGTCGACGTTCGCGTGTGTTGGAGGGTGAATGCTTCGACTCTTGCGAACGAGATCCGGATTTCGAAGACGGTGACGACGAAATAAGATGAATGGGAGAGTCGAGCGAGCGTTTCGCCAATTTTTTGGGTCGAATCCCTTGTTTGTGCGGCGTCTCAGGTCGGTGTGCAAGTTTGTTGAATGGTGACGGCGAATGAGCCGGGGAGGAAGGAGAGAAATGCAGAGAACGAGCTTGGGCGATGAGGGGCGACTGGGATGGCACAAATGGATCGGGCCTAGGGCATGAGCGATGTTTTAGGCTCGGCGTGGAGGTAACAAAGTCCACTGGTATCAGGGATGTTCTATTCTTTGCCTTGTATAATTTGAGAGCAACTGCGCGCACAGGCGATGATATCATAGTCCTTTCTATCCTGATCTTGGATTGTTGACCAGGCTCCAAACGACGTTCGTTAGCTGCATTAGGCGTAAGACTAACTTGCACCTCTGCTACATCCTCTTCATCGCTAAGCTGAAATGAAAACGAGGATGACTCCCAATATTTCTGGACCAGGTGATCTTTTCCTTCATCCGAAGGAGCAAATAACTTATGCGCCGTCCGCGCATGATTATCTTCATCAGCAGACGAATCGAATTCATTATCACTGCTGCTTCGATTGCGGACGTCTCTCGGAATCCCACGACTTTTCTGTTGCCCAGATTGCGATTGTCTGCGATCTTCCACTTTTTGTTTCCCTTTCGCAGCATCTGAGTGGGTTAAGGGACTGCTGCCCTGGTGGTTGTCCCACTTCCTTAGACCCAGCCAGCTCCTAAGGACGTCCACCCTTCGGCCATTTCTGCCTTTCAAAGCGGATGGATCAAGCCCATAGCCCGGATCGACAAGCCATTTCTTTGCCATTGCACGAGCTTTGAGATCAGCGTCATTAGTAGCGTCTGCGACAATGTTCTTGACTGCGATATCGTCTTCATCATCGTCTGATTGGGGCTGGAATAACCCAAGATCGAATTCGTGGGCAATCGGAGCCGGTGGAATGGCATGGTGGAAATTGGCAGAGGTATGTTGCGGTTTCCTGCAACAGCTTTCAAAAACGCGGTCTATGCCGGCCCAGTCGAGATTCTTCAACGAAGGATCAAGGGTGTTTGGTATAATGCGGTTGGGTCGGAAGAGAGAAACAAAGGCCTGCAACTCTGGCAATGGTGAATGTCTTGAAAGCGGGACGAGCTTGCAAGCTATTGTCAGCATGAACAAGCACTGAGAACTTTGCCCACATACCAGTGACCGGACTACCTTTCCACTAATCAATTGTTGTTTAGTCGTAGACTGGTATTCAGCCCATCTCTCTGGAGTCATGGAGCTCACAGGGTTGATGTAGACAACTAACTTCTTCGAAATCTCCTTTGTCCTTCTGCTTGCCTTGGTCGCACCCCAGCCCTTGTGCGAATTTTGCCCTAGTAGAAGCCTGTTTGCAGCATCGAAAGTGTCTTCGCTGACAAGGTCACCATCGTCATCATCGCTAGAATGGTCTTCGCGGTCAACATTGACATGATGGCAACGCGCAAAACGTTCACAAGCGTGAAATCGTGTTTCATCTGGGTCGATGGTACCCAATGATTGCAGGAGAGGGTCAGAAGATATTAAAGAGTAAATTCGATGTTTATAGTCATCCAGGTGAATCTATTGATAAGATGGACAAATGAGCTTGGGCCAACAGCAAAGTTGCACTAATAATGCTCACTCTGCAATTGAATGCTCTAGCTATTGCTTTCAGAATGTCTTCGTATCCCCATGTCCAGGAGTTGATGAAGAAATACGTAGAGGGTGGATAGAGTTCGAGGAGAGCAATCAAGCCAGTAGTAGCCTCGTCCTACAACCAGATTGGATTTCAGTTGGTGTACACACGGGAGAAGACTTGACTGACTTTGGTTGGGACCTGATGGGTTTGCATGACGCATGCGGTATCCAAATATATTGCTTTCAGTGTTTTGACGATTCCGTTGCCACCCCGGGGGTTAGTACCATTAGATGGTGCAAGATAAGGCTGAAGATATGGATTGTGTGTAATGGACTCTAGAAACCAAGGTTCTGCACGAAAGTCGCCGGTATGAAGGATAGCTCCTTCCGCGCCTTCAATGAGAAACCTGTCCGTAAAAAATCAGGTCATAGAAAGAGCAGAAAAAAAGAATAAACGCACATTACGGCCCCAGGACAATGATTCGCATCGAAAAGCGTGATGGTCACTTTCTTTTCCCCATCCAATTCAACTTCTGTAGGTGTATTCATTGGAAACACCTTCAATAAATCTTTAGCACCGTAAAAGACAGCTTCCCCGTTTGAACATATATAAGGAGGAACCTTTAGATGACGAAACGTGTGACTATGTTCTGCGCGGTATTCTTCCTCGTGAAGCGCGCGTTCTCTGTATGGTTCGTATTTGAGGAGCATTTCTTTGGCGGATGCTGAGCAAGCAACAGTATGACTGAAGCTTTTGGCTTGCAGACCCACGATATGGTCCGAGTGTGTATGCGAAAGAAGATGAAGGGCAGCATTATGCGGTTCCGAGGCAGAAGGAGAGATAGCGCTGAAACAGTCCACACGTATGGGATAAGGCAAAGCAAAGGAGTTAAACGGAGCTCCAGGTGGCATATTAACGGTCGAAAAAGGAGAGGTTATATAATGAGCTCCAAGGTTTGTGCTCAGCAGAATAAATATTCAAGAATAGGATGCGCGTGTGCATGTGATGGTTGGTCATGACCAAACCTAAACGATCAGGTGGTTTTGCAAGCGATAAGATATATCGTGAGAGTATATTTGATACTACGGGATCCGCCGAAGCCTGGAACTTGTTACGCTGGAGGATTTCACGAATATTGCAAACGACGGAAAAAGGAAAGTTGACGAACGCCTAAACGGGTCGGTCCCTAATGGCTTATTTGAATCGGAACATTCCTGAGCGGCCATAAATGAGGTCAGACGTCCTCCTTATGTGTGATAGATAGATAGATTGTGTGTGGTATGGACCTAGTAGCCAATTCACCCCATTACAAATGTCGAATCGGTTCTAGATGATGTATTGCTAAGGGAAACTGGCTTAACAGAATCGGAACAACCGCATTCGGCCTTAGGAATGTGAGTAGGAGAAGAGTTCAGCCCACAACTCGTAGTATATTTCATACCGATGGGCATTTTAATGACAGGTTTTGAGCATGAAGCAAATATAATACAGATCCACAAGTTACAATCTCTCAATCTTTCTTGCCTACAAACTGGTCAAACCATCTGAGTACTTCGTAGTGCCATTTAAGACTACATGTTCCTTGTCGTTAGGTTGACATGTCACCGGTCTAGATACGAATCCTTACCTATTGCCATGATTTAGGACCCAGTGATTCTCATCTGGGAAAATGACCAGCCGACTAGGAATATGAAGCCTATCGTAACTGCGCATTAGAGTTGTTCAGCCTTCAAAGCTGAAGGCGCTTACTGTTGTAAAGCATGGAATGCACCAATTCCCTCAGTCTCAGGAAGTCGGTAATCCTTCGAACCATGAATCAGCAGTTGAGGTGTGCTCCATTTATGCACAAAGTTCGCTGGGTTGAATCTGAATGGATCTAGGTCAGCCGAGAGTTTAGGTTCCCAGCACTTGGAGATAAAATTACTTTCGCAGAACTTGTTCACTGTTCTTGTCCCAAGGCCGCCCCCGCCAATCATGATTGAACTGAGTAACCACGTTCCTTGAATTCAAGCAACCACGAGTGAAAGGTAGATTTGACTTACGAAGAATAACTCATCCGTCGAAAATCCATTATAGTTTGAATCGAACACCTGATAGAATTGTCAGCTATCAAAAGAGCGAAGCAGGTGAAGCAACTATCCCTACCCCGTCATGGCATACCAAAGCCTGAAACGAAACGAATGATCAGGTCGTGAAAGGTGGTAAAACCACAAGAACGGCAAGTATCCATACCTTGAATCCGAAATCAAACTCTGGATGTCCTTGAATCCAGCTAAGAAAATCAGAACGTGGATACAGTGAGAAATCAAGGCCATGATGGACAACACACTTGATTGCATAACCACCCCAACTGGCTCCAGCAGCAACAGCACGGTCTGCATCGACCTATAGACTTGATCATCAGTGCCCGCTCTACGAAGACGTTAACAGGCTGCCGGTAGAAACATGTACCTCAGGATAATTTTCAAGTACATATTTCCATCCTTTCTGCAAATCAACGAAAGGCTTGCCTCCCCAGTCTCCGGCGATTGCATCAGTGAAAGCTATCAAACGCAAAGGAAATATACACATAGTGAAATCGCGCTACATGGCATGACGGACGTACCTTGTCCGAACGAAGTGCTTCCGGTCGGGTTCATGGCGACAACGAAGTAGCCTTGTTGTGCGAAGACTGGATACGTTGGGATTGACGCAAATCAGACATACAACATTGAACATTTAACCATACCGTTCGGGTTCCATCGAGTTGACCATTGATCTTCCCAAGCTCCTTGAGGGCCTGCATTAACATGATAGTAAGTGAGCGAAAGATGATGGAAGGAAATTCAAACTCAAGTACCACCGTGAATGAGCAACAGGATTGGAAATGCCTTTTTCTCTCCGTGTTTCCATCCCTTAGGTTTTAATATCCATCCTTGTACGTCAATATCGTTTGCTCCCTTGAACCAAAAATTCTCTCCCTTGCTTAAATTCTTCCCTTCTAAATCCGGAGCAGTGAAATTAGTAACCTGGTCGATCTCTCCAGTAAATCTTGCTGTCCCGTCCGACTGTGTAATTTGAGCTTGAAGTGCATCCAACCCTTTGACCAAGAACACGTCATTAGGCGACGTAAAGGATGATTTCGAGATCAAGATTCTGCCATAGGGCAGTGTCTGAAGACCAGAGGACGCGCCGTCTTCGACGATTGTAACAGGGTTGAGGTATTTAGGAGATAACGAGGGGTCGGTCGTCGATTTAGCAGGCGTGGATGGGATGGGAAGAACGAAAACTTTCACCAACGCATGGTCATCGGCGGTGAAGTATATGAAGTCTCCTTCTTTAGAAAACTAAAACAGAAAGTTCAGAGGACTGTTAGCTGCCGAAAAGGGAAGAGATATATACTAAATCACTTACAGCCAAAGAACCTGGAGAACGATCCCACTTCTGCGTTAGAGTGAATCTGACATCCTTCTTGAGGTCGTATATAACGATTTTTGCTCTAGGATATAGTTAGTGATGCTTCCACTGAAATAACTAAACCGAAGATACCTGTCGCTCTCATAACCATCTTCATCCAGCTCTAACCAGGCAGCCTTATCCCCTGCATCATTGAGAACAGGACTGCGTGTTGCGCCTTGGGATCCGGAAGTGAGTTCCCGAGGTTTGCCTGCGGCAGTAATGCTGACAATGTATACCTAATCCAAGAGTCAGTAAAGAACTGACGAATTAAACTAAATACACCGACGTTCTGCTTGGTGTGCCACGCACGTTCCTCCTCAAATGCCGGGTCTAGCGTCGTGTAAATGACAGATTGCTTCGACACATAAAAATCATCGGTTCCTCCAAAAGGCTCAACCGGCGAACTCTGCGAAAATATGCAAGCTCAAGTTAAGAAATTGATTCGAAGAGAATATAGACTTACATGTCCTGTTCCTGCTAACAAGTTCACAAATTCTGACCCAAACGTCCACATGTGATTGGGATCTTGGACAAGCCTAACACTGAATAACGACTGCGTTTTCGGCCCGACCCAATGATCCCAATGTCGTTCGTAGGTGCGATCGTACACCAACGCGGTATTGCCGCGATTTTCCCAAGCCTCATCTTGTTCCTTGACCGTAGTGAGATTTCCGTCAGAATACACGCTATCCGAAAAAACCAGATAGCCGTCCGTTGAATAACGGAAGTTGCTTGCCGAGGTTGTAGGGAAGGAACCAAGAAGAATCGGCGCATTGGTGCTGAGGACTGCGGCCGAATCATTTGTGGAGGGTTGGTATAGAACATCGAGTGCGAATATCTCGAGATTCTTTTGTTCCGATTCGACTACATATGCCAACGTCTTGCCATTGAGCCAGAAAGCTTCGCCTCCTTCAACCAGCTACAGTACAAACGCGTCAGATGGAGCAAGGCGAGGAGGGAATCGCGCCCACAGGTAATTTGAACGGCTTGACGGTAGATTCCAATGGGGCAACATAGATGCTCTTGTGGTTTCTAAAGTTGGATCAATACAGCAAACTCGAGTTGTAGAAGGAGATGACAGTCGACTCACTTCTTCTCCTCGAATGAGTATTTGCTGTATGGGATGATAACGAAATCTCCAGCGTGATTAGCGACTCCTACGCCTGGCCTCCCCAGTTCCATAAGATCCTTAGGGGTAAACACGTCGGCCCCTTCCTTGAACTGAAACGAACTGTGGACCATAGTCATTACAGCTGGATTTGGCAGATTTGGTTGTAGTGGAACTTGAGATCTAGACGCAAGTCCCAGTGCTGACAGAGCGAACGAGAACCGCATGACCACTTATGGTTCGGTAAGAACAAGCGGAATTCCGAACAGTAAGTTCAGTACCGGTGGTCTGCTGGTGACTGTGCAGTGTGGGTGGTACCCTGTGGTACCTGGGAGTCGCCAAGGGCGTAATTGTGTAAATTTATGTAAATTGATGTTGCGAGTTTTACATAACTCTTCCTCCTCCGATCGAGTCCTCCCTCTCACGGTGGAAATCGCCATCAAAAAATGCCTGAAAGCAGTCACTAGCTTGCGGCATCGAAGGTTGTAGTGAGTGCTCAACAGCAGTCAACATAATTTTGCAGGGGACTTGGGACATCAAATTTCTCTGAATGGCTGCCTGACGCTGATATTTTCTTGAAATGGAAATATTGAAGCTGAAGTCAGTGAGGTCGATAAGGATAAGGACACGCAGAGAGGTAAGGTGAAAATGACACTGGGCGAACTGGTAGATTCTGGTGCATGATGATTGAAGTCAAGGTACGTTGAATCCCAGTCCAAAATTCATAGTGTTCATAGACATAGCTTAAACTGCATATTGTAGCCTGACCATCTTTCCTCACCCGAGAACCATATACGGGATATCTGTAGCGATTCTGAGTAGTACATATACCACAAGTGAACAGAGAATAACAAGACATTACAATACTTTTGCTGACAGTTTTCACTCGCTCATGGCACCCTCATCCTCTGCATCGCCAGAAATAATTTCATCTTGAGTCAGCCTCGGTCCTTCCACCTGTGTAACCTCCCCAGTTGCAGCATCCCAACGAGCAATGAGTCCTACTCTGAAAGTAACCATCTTCTCACCAGTGAGCTTTAATAATTGGGCCTGCTCAGCTGTGAGCACCTTGCCCTTTTGGCATAACTTGTGCGGTGCCTGCAAAGTCGGTACACCGCGTTCCATCTTTGTCGTCAGTCCCAGTCTCCGCAATTGAGGGTCTTCGTCATGAGGGAAGGGTACTGGAGGATCAGAATGATGCATCATAACAGGTCCTGCAGGCAGAATCACAGTCCGACTTGCAACGTTCCCGGCTCGTGCAAAATCAGGTTGTGCGAAGTCGGCAAACCATTCGATAACCTCCTCGGGTTCGGTATCTGTAAAAAGCAGGCCCACTTGACCTTCTATTTGCTGCATCGACAAGTTAGACCAATGCTGGAAAAGCCGACGTCTCGAAACGTACCTTTGCAAGTTTATGTATGCCCATACGATGTTCTTCTTCCGGTGTCGTACCCAGAGCCTTGGCTAGTAGTGCTGATCTACTGAAGAATATGCGAGCAGAGCTGATACACATCCATCGATGATAATTAAGAAAAAGAAAGATATTACATTCAAATTAGTCGCACCCTTTCCACAGATTCCGTACAGTCTTGAGATGCGCATTCCTCATCGCACCGACCTCAAATAACCAGCAATATTTCCATTTGTCGGCGTTTTCTTTGACCTATATCGACTTCGTGAGGAGATGATTTTTGGAACAGCGATATGAGGCTACATGTTCCATCATCGCCGACTTGTGTTCTCTCGTTTTCTTTTCGACCTTCGTTAGAGAGACTGGAAGAAGTATATGAGAAAACAGGTTCTTCAGAATAGCTGGGATTGAGCATACCAAGCTTGGATCGCTTTGATTTTGGCATAGCAAATCGAGATTATTGTACGAGTAATGCTGGTGAAGGATTGAAAAGAAAAGTTGCACAGCCACTGGCTACAAATTCTCATCGAAGCTATTCCGAATAGTATTCTCTATCCTACTACATATGCGCTAGTCTAGCCGTCTGGTTGCTCAGCTACGCGTTCTGATTCTACACCGACACATTTCTGGACCGTGTCACTTTCGGCTGTGGCTGATCTTGTCCATCCCAGTGTTATCCTGTTACTTCCTGTACGTTTGTTCAAAGTTCTCGATGCATGGATATACGATGAACCGAAACGTGGTCTACCGATGAGTGAAAATCTGTTCACTCATGGGAACACGCCGAACTACATGCCATTAAATGGAATGACTGCTTTCATGCAACGACACCGTCTGCCACTAACTCGACACTACAAAAATAGTCACTGTTATCAACATCATGCATCTTGATATTTGATGCTTCAGAGACTCTTCGCCTCAGTATATCAGGCGATTCATTCAACCTTCCGCTCCTTCCAACGGCTCATGGTCCTTTCCCTCGACTCCATTTTCCTATCAAGCTCAATCTTAGTTCTGGCTTTGGTAAGGAACTCCATTTTACCGATTTCAAATTTTCACTAGACCTCATACTCATACTTTTGGAATAGGCAAACTCATCTTCACTATGCGCCGACACCTTAGCTTCAGTCCCCTTCCTACGCGCAAGCAGCATCATCCAGAGCGACCACTTCTATACCACCAATATTTCTGAAATTGAAAGCACTCTTTCCGATAGCGTCTTCTCATTTGATGGGAATTCCGCATTTCTTTGGTCCACACCTCAACCCGGGACCATTCCCCTCTTCCGCCTTTACAACAACGAGAACTCTACAGACCACTTCTACACCATGTCCTCCGATGAACTACCAGAAATGATGGCGAGGGGATGGGCATACGACACCGCTCCTAATCATACAGCGGGATATGTATATCCTTTTAGTATTTGCGGCGCCGCGCCAATCTATCGTCTATTCAATTCAACTATTACGGATCATTTCTACACAATGGATATTGCGGAATGCCAGAGTGCGGCGAAGGACAATGGATATCAGGACCAGGGGATCGCGGGATTTGCGATACTTCCTTCAGCAAATGGGAGTGTTGTGGAAATTGTTGCTAGTGCTGTCCCCAATCTCCTGCCTAGTACCGTTACTGCGTCTCCAGAATCTCAGGTATCTGTCACACCGTCTGCGGGTTGTGCCAACAATACCAACGCAATTCCTTTCATGCGTGCTATCAGCACTGCTGACACAGATCATTTCTATACCACAAACTCAACCGAGATGAACGTTGTAGCGATCGCACAAAATTCGTATCTCTTCGAGGGCGATACAGTTTTCCTTTGGCCAACTCAAGAATCATCAACAGTTCCACTGTACAGGTTATACAGCCAGACAGCTAGAGACCACTTCTACACAATCGATGCCAACGAATTAAGCGAGGCTCTTTTGGAAGGGTATGTCTTTGACACAGACAGTCATATTGCTGGATACGTCTACCCGTACAGCATATGTGGAGCTTCCCCCATATACCGTCTTTACAGCTCTTTCTCCTCTGATCATTATTATACCATGACTCAAGCCGAGAGTGCGAGTGCAACCGCTTCATTTGGATACATTGTACAGGGTATTGCGGGCTTTGCTCTACTGCCTTCAGCGGACGGGCAGCTCCAGACGGTTACTGTGTCTGCATCGCCATTCCTACTACCGGTATCGATTGAGCCTTCCCCGACATCAAGTTCAAGACTACCAGCGTTCTTAACGACCGTATCCATTACACCGTCGAGTTTGAGCTTCCCCAGTAAAGCTTTAGTCCAGAGCGTGGTGTCTCGTCGTGAAATTCTTGGTTTGTCGGTGTTGACTGCGGTATGGATGATTTTATAGTTACCCAGTAGTCATTAACCTACATAAGAGATCTTTGACTATGTACATACGTTTTGCGTATCACAACTTTGTTAGAAGATGCAACTTGAACATACACACACTACCCCACGACCCATGGCTACATACAGAATTATAATTATATCACTATACCACGAAACAAGGAACGGGGCTGGGCGACAAATCACCAAGGTCTCCGCGCCTTAGTACTAGCCTTACTTGTATGTAGATAATGACAGGATACATACTATTGAAGGTTCTTTTGTCAAAAAAAACAGTGTATATTATTATTGATCTCTGGACCAATAGAACATTGTGACACTTAGGAATTCTCTTTCATTCTTCTTCCACCATATCCTGATCTCGGGGTTCATGTCGGTCGTTTTCCTCACTTTCATTTCTCTCCTATCTGGTTTAGCCCTGGTTGTGGTAAGAGTGCATAGTCTAACTCACTGTTCAGAGTCAACTTACTAGCCGCGATACAGGCAGGCTTGGACTCGTCTTCATCATGTGCGGACACTTCGTCCGTAGTCCCCTTCCTGCGCGCCTACAGTAGTAGATTAAAAGACCACTTTTACACTACCAACGTATCAGAAATGAACAACAACGCCCTCGCTGGAGGCGTCTATGCCTTTGAAGGCGAATCCGCCTTTATCTGGGCCACACCCCAAACCGGCACTGTCCCTCTCTTCCGTTTATACAATCAGAACTCCACTGACCATTTCTACACCATGTCCTCTGACGAATTGCCCGAAATGATGAGCTTGGGATGGACGAACGATACTGCTTTGAACCAAACCGCGGGATACGTATACCCATACAGTACCTGTGGTGCTGCACCAATTTATCGTCTGTTTAATCCTTCGACGATCGACCATTTTTATACGATGGATGTTGCGGAGAGTCAGAACGCGGTTCAGGTGGGGTATCAGGATCAGGGAATTGCAGGGTTTGCAATACTCTCTTCGGCTGATGGATCTTCGGTCCAAAATTCTGCTGTTCCCTATCTATTACCCAGCACTATTACTGCAACACCGGAATCGCAGGCATCTCCTGTATCCTCGTCATCTTGTGCCAACAGTGCTGATGCGATCCCCTTCCTGCGGGCATACGCTAGTACCGGGACAGATCATTTCTATACCACGAACTCGACTGAGATGAACAATGCACAAGGGTCGTATTCCTTCGAGGGTGACGCAGCGTTCCTATGGTCGACCCAGGAAGCATCCACAGTCCCGTTATACAGATTATTCAATCAAAATCTCAACGACCACTTTTACACAATGGATGCTAATGAATCCAATGAGGCACTTTCATCAGGGTATGCTTTTGACACCGACAGCCATATCGCTGGATACGTCTACCCTTATAGTATATGCGGCGCTTCCCCCATCTACAGACTCTACAGCTCTACATTAGCGGACCACTTTTACACCCTGAGCCAAAATGAGAGTGCGAGCGCGGCGGGTTATGCACTAGAAGGCATCGCCGGTTTTGCTTTGTTGCCTTCAGCTGATGGACAGCCTCAGACGGCTACAGTGTCTGCTTCTCCGTTGCTATTACCAGTGACTCTGGACCCCTCTCCAATATCGATTTCCTCAACTTTCGTAGCTGCGTATTCCACGACCATTGATATAGATCCAGTGAGCACCAGTGCCGCATCGAATTCTGGGAATAAGGCTATAGCTCGGCGTGGGGTGTCGGGTTATGGCTTCCTTAGTGTCTTAGTATCAGGATTGGTTACAGCGGTGGCTTAACGGAACTCGACCTGTCTCGACTCGTACATAGTCGACTTTCGACCTCCAGCAAATTCATTCTATGGCTATAATCGTGAAGGTACTACGTTATATGAATACACTACATAACGCGTCTATCAGCACAGAGAGATCAAGGAACCCTTGATTGCTGACTCGGGATAGTTCCGTTGATGAGAGTTCCTGCACAACAAATCATACTGCAATTATTATTTTTACCACCAAAGATGAACTCGATGTAGAGTGATAAATATGTCGCTACCTGTCAAGCAACTGATATAAAAATTTTGAACTTTCCTTTCACCTCAACACTCCAATGCCCATTCTTTCCCCAACTTTCGTTTTTCTCCTGTTGAATTTATCCCTGGCACTAGTAAATATTCATTGAATCACTGTCCTCCACTTACATTAAATCTCAATCGACAGGCAGCCCCATCTTCATCATGTGCAGATATTTCATCTTTAGTCCCCTTCCTGCGTGCATATAGCAGTAGCTTGAGCGACCATTTCTACACCACTGATGTATCCGAAATGAACAACAACGCCCTCGCTGGAGGCGTTTACGCCTTGGAAGGTGATTCCGCATTTCTCTGGTCCACACCTCAACCCGGGACCGTTCCCCTCTTCCGCCTTTACAACGAGAAGTCTACCGACCACTTCTACACCATGTCCTCCGATGAACTACCAGAAATGATGGAGAATGGATGGGCATACGATACCGCTCCTAATCATACCGCGGGATACGTGTATCCTTATAGTATTTGCGGTGCCGCACCAATCTATCGCCTATTTAATCCGACCATTGTGGATCATTTCTATACAATGGATGTCGCGGAGAGTCAGAATGCGGTAAAAACTGGATATCAGGACCAGGGAATTGCGGGTTTCGCGATCCTGCCTGCAGCTAATGGGAATGTTGTACAAAGTTCTGCTGTTCCGTATCTTCTACCCAGTGCTGTCACTGCGTCACCGGAGTCTCAAGTATCTGCTTCATCGTCTTCGGATTGTGCCAATAATGCCAACGCAATTCCTCTTTTGCGCGCATTCAGCAGTACTGGCAAAGATCATTTCTACACCACAAACTCAACCGAGATGAACGTTGTAGCGATTGCAGAAGACGTGTATTCTTTCGAAGGCGATGCAACATTCCTTTGGTCAACTCAGGAAACATCTACAGTCCCATTGTATAGGTTATACAGCCAGACAGCCAGTGACCACTTCTACACAATTGATGCCAACGAAACAAGCGAGGCAATTGCGTCAGGATACGCCTTTGATACAGACAGCCATATCGCTGGATATGTCTACCCATACAGCATATGTGGAGCCTCCCCCATGTACCGTCTTTACAGCTCTTCATCCTCCGACCACTTTTACACTATGAGTCAAGCTGAGAGCCAGAGTGCGAGCGCCTCAGGATACATATTGGAAGGAATTGTGGGCTTCGCTTTGTTACCTTCAGTTGATGGACAGCCTCAGACGGCTACAGTGTCTGCCTCCCCATTGCTGTTACCAGCGTCATTGGAGCCCTCAGCGGTGTCGATTCCCTCATCTTCAAGTTCAGAGTCTGGGTTTCCGACGACCATTGCAGTTGGTCCCACAATCAGCTTCTCGTCGAATCCTGGGAGTATCAGCGCGACCTCTATTTCGGGACATAGTACCAATAAGGCTATACCTCAAAGTGCTGTATCGTTATGCGGAGCATTTGGTGTGTATATGTTGGTAGCAGCACGGACGACTGCGATGTTCTCTATATTCTAGCAGCTGATTGAGTATATATACAGTGTGTAGCATAACGTATTAGGGGTATCTATTTATTTTATGCAAAGCAATGCAACAGTCTTCCAAAGATAGCAAGGGCAAAGACTTCATGAAGCTGAAGTAGCGATATATGTTTGCGCCACCTTCTTCATTATTGATAAGACAACTTTACGCTTTGCCTGGTCCTCCGGGAGCTGAACTTTTCCAGTGGCAAGCTGGATCAGATAAGCAAAATCTGCTTGAGCAACGAGCGGAAGCCGCCCCGAGGCACGGCTCTTTTGCTTCTCCTGGAGCTTTGCCTTGAACTGCTCGGCAAAGTTTTTGGAGATGGTGTCTGCACGCTCAACGACCTCCATCGGTACTCCTGCAAGGTTGGCGACGTGGGTACCGAAAGAAGAAGTAGCGACCCCCTCAACGAGTTTGTATAAGAAAACAATCTAGAAAACATGTCAAGCGTAATAGGAAAAATATAAACGACTTGATCGACTAACAGCGCGTTTTTCATCATCGACGATGGTTGACATATACATATTTCGGATGTTTGGATGGTATGCGAAGTCGTCGGTCAAGGAACCATAGTGAGTTGCAAAAAATGATAGCGGTAAGGTGTGGGTAGCAAGTTCATGCAGGACAGCCTATTACAGAGATAGTTGTTAGACGACGTCAAAGTCGAAGTATCGTGGATCGTACTCCTGCGATAGCCATTCCATCCTGAAAGCTGATCAGCACGTCGAAAGAAAGTGACAAGATAGATGACATACATATGTTGATGTACCACGACCGAGCTCTGTTGAAGACGGTCAGTATTTGTAGAAATTCATGCATATTTGTGTTACCATCTAGAATCACAAACGATTTGGGCGTAGCGTCACGTAGAATCTTACAGCTGCATGAATATTAGATGAGCGCATACAAGCAGTAGCAATCGACTGACCATTCATCTAATTCTACCTTAAAGGTACTAGCATTCGAGAACATGTTATCGTATGCTCCCATACGTGTCAAAATGGAATTAACTGGTGAAAGCCTGGATTATGATTGTGTATTAGCACCAGACACGATAAGTGTTCTATCGATCAAATATACCGTGCACTCTCAGCGGGGACGAACATTCCCAGTTGTGCCATTATCTGTATGACAGTCAGTAGATGAAGCACTACCAATGCCTTCGAGTGACTCACGATGCCGGTAGCAGTCATACGCATCACCTAGAAATGAAATTTAGTGCATTGATCACCACAATTTGTAATGAGGAGCGCACCGTCGACTTTCCACTAAGCGATCATAAACATAGATATTCAGTGCCATATAGTTCGACCAGAATGAAAAAGCGTACGCCATGTTGGGTCCTATGTATCCGATTGAAAATCAGAAGGGTGCGACTGAACATCACCCATAGAACTCACCAGTAAGCAATGCAATCTTCCCAACATCACCACCAAGTTTGACATCATTCGGGATAAAATCATCCACACTTGTGCTCGCACACAACGTCGGATGCCTCAAGCCCTTGAAATCGAACCATGCAGCCTCATCTTCAACAAACTCCGGACGGCAGGCGGGTTCACCTATGGCCGTGGACGATTTTGCTAGACTGAATAAACAGTCTAGTTCAGCAAATACCCGGATAGTGCGAAGCCAGACGGAGCGATCCTCATCGAACTCAGCATAAAGCCGAAATTTGAACTCCTTGATAGCGGCGTTACGTCTTTCCCTGGCTTCCTTCAAGGAACGAATCGATTTTTGGAGGGAAGGAACTAGCCAGCGCGTTTTAGCCTGCAATAGTGATCAGTTATTGCTGATGGGGTGGGTTGTCGGAACATATATACCTTCGTGCCACTATTTTTGGTCCACTCTTTCGGAATATTTTTTTGCCCAGCCGTAGTCTCTACCATGTAAATCTCCTAAAATCGGAGCACATCGTTGGTATCTAAATAGCAGCACCTCACAAGTACACACCTTTGAACCAACAGCACTGTGCCACCAATTCAACTTGACTCTGTGAAGTGATTAGAAAGATAGTAGATATTGACGAGTAGAGAAAGATATACCCAAGTATCTTCTCAAACTTTTTTAGCGCACCATCTAACTCCTGCTCCAATTCCTCGATCTCAGCCATAACCTCGTCGTATGTCTCATCTTTTCCATCACGAGGTATCAATTCATCATCTGTGAAGACCGTTAATAGTATTGGGGAGAAAGAAAAGAGATCTTGTCCGTAAACGAACCTTTATCTGAAGAGGGTTTCTCGAACATAGATTCGATGTTCTTGATGTTTTTAATGAGGTCCGGTGCGCTACGAAGCAATCCCAAGATAGTTTTTGATTCGAAGGTCTCTGACGCATTGGCAAGATCGCTGAGACCTCGACTGAGTTTCTTGAACGCCTGCATAGGAGAGAAGTTTAATCCCAACAACGAGGGTGACGATTGAGATCGCGTACTCCAAGCACTTTCAAGAAATCCTTCACTTTACAGTTGCGAGCATGAATTCGAGAAACGACTCGTTCAAGATCAGGTAGTCCTTTAGCAGTTTCTGTAAAAGAACTTTCAAAGGTCGGGTGGTCGATGAGATCTTGAACAGCATCCAGTCTAAACAAGAAGGGTTAGCTCGGAATATTTAAAATGAGTGAAACAGCATACCTTGCATTGATAGCTGCGATTTCCCGAAGAGGCATGCACAACCAGATCCTGAACAGTCTCTTACCTGCAATAATTCCATCAGTATCAACGTAGAGAGAGAGGGAGGGCGATTGACCGAAAGGTGTGATGCACCGTCCGAGCAACTTCAAGAGAGATCCGTCCTCGGTACCTTCATTGTTCAGTAGGACCTGCCCTCATGTCTTTGTAGAAACCAGTAGACCACGTGGGCAAACGTTTTTACGTACCTCGATGTGAGCCAAAGTTTGACCGTCGAGCACCAGACCTTCACCCCGCTTCATGGGGTCATAGATATTGAAATTTCTCATAGTGATGATATCTTTGTCGATGTTCAACTGTTGCAAGTACCTGAGAGGAACAAATAAGATAAATGAATTCTCTCGTCAGCTAGAAAACGCCGACATACCACATCATCGACCCCAGCGCCTCAATAGCAGGTCTAGAATCAGCCATATCTCTGATTGGTTTTGGAACACTTTCAGGTAATAATTGAACATCATCAGTATCAGCCACTTCTTCGGTATCGGTAGGAGGGAACCGGGCTTTCAAGTCTTCGAGGGTATCGTCATAGCTTCGAGCCTCGACCTCGCGCAATGCAGTCCAAAGACAAGCTGCGGGCAAAATAGATTTCAAAAGTCGCGTGGTGGAAATGGAGAGGTTTCCCTATACGAGTATTATAAAAAGACACTTATGATGAGACAGATGAAGAGACATGATGTTCAGCAAACCGGACCTTGGTGAAAAGCATTTCCTTAGGCCGAATTTGTCTAATCATTGTCTCAAGCTTGGTACGGCAGATATCGTCCTCGAATACAGCAAGATCGAATTGGGACGTCGAGCAGTCCAAAACCGAGATACCGAACGTGTTATGAGATCCATCGTCTGATTCAATTTCACGAATAGAAATGCAATGACCTGCTTCGTCGTCGGTAATCATTTCGCCGTCGACTAAGGTTCCGTTTGTGTAGACTTTATTGAGTTCTCTAAAAAATAGGTCCTTCCGCTGGTCTCGTTAGTGAATACGAAGTAAACTCACCGTCTAACAATCTTTTCTTTTTCTCCGCTTTTAATTTTGCCGCTTTTCTTGTCATCTGCCAGTCGCATTTCTGCTCCCAACGCAGTCTCAGATTGCTCTACTTTGCCGACTTTATATCCTTTGCCCAGAAATTTCCTAGAACAAACATGATTAAAAGGACATCGGACGAATGCTGTGTAGGCTTACGCGGCCCAAAAGTTGAAAGACATTTCTGGAACCCCAACCATTGACATTTTGACCCTCTGCGTGAGCTTCAAATCGAACTCTTGATGACCAACTCTTGCGTCATCTTCATAGAGCTGAGTTGAACATAAGAATACAGAGTGGATGTAAGAAGCTGTATCGACTTCACCTCAAAGAACTTTCTACGAAATTCGTGAAGACGATAAAAACTGTCGCAACGATGAGCGGCTATCACTCACCCTTTTTGAAAGAATAGAATCTGGTGGTGTGTTTAATACCTTTCGGGGCGTAATGAGACTCGGAGGCAGACATACAGTATCATAATGGTTCTGCTTAATTTCCCAAAACTACAATAAGCTCGGTGAGATTGAGGTCTGTAAGGCAGCTCAGGCCTTGGATGTACCTGTTTTTCGAACGGAGTGAACTCTTTCCAGGCCTTGGTGGGAATGTACAACGTTCTTGGGTCGTATTTAGGATCCCCTGGGCGACAGCCGTCTTTCTGTTTATAGAAACAATAAATCAAGCTTAAAATTGGGACAAATAAGATGCTCACATCCTTAACATCCTGCAAAAACCCGTATGGACTCTCTGTTGCTTTTTTTTCTTCTTTCTTATCTTGCTCCCGTTGCTCCGCCGCAGTGAGGAAGGAGAATGAGTCAGACGTTTGGGTAGAAGCTTTAGGTTTGATATTGGCTTTGCCTTTCGATTTCAATTTCTTGGAGATAGGCTCCTCCTCTTCGTCTTCGACCTCGTCAGAAAGTAATGATTGGCGCGATGAAGGTCGAGAGGAGGAAGTTTTCATTGATCCAACGTCAGCATCTGAGTCCTCGGACGGGACAATGAAGTCGTCGTCGTCTTCTGAGGCCTTGGAGGATCTTCGTCCCGTCTTTGCTGGAGATTTTCTGAACTTAGTGATCCTGTGCGTAAACGAGCTGGAGACTTCTGAATCCTCTTCATCCTCATCTGGTGTCAGTTCCGAGTATCGAGCCTTCTTTATACGACCTGGAGGAGAATGTTGGGTTATAGTTATACCATGCAAAACCAACACGCACTTCTTCTTTCAGAAGGTGATGATGGTGGCAAGGACGATGAATGTCTTGAGTTTGAAGACGTTCCAGACGCTTGAATATCCTCATCTGAATCATCTACAACGCGCCTTCGTTTAGTTGCTCCCTGAGGCGGCCTGTTAAGTTTCGTCTACAGAAGTCCAATGCTTCTCACCCGAGGTTTACTACGTTCTGACTCTTCAGAAGACAGCATATCTACGTCAATGGCATCACTAGTAGGAGGAGTATCCTATGATAATGTGAGTTAGTGATCACAGGTAAAAACGCGTCAAGTGACACACTTTTATACCACTGCTGTATGAGGACGAACTTGCAGCTGCAGAGGAGTTGAGAGCGTGTAAATTTGGCTTTTTGGGCGCTGGAGTCTGGAGGACATTGTCGGAAGACGCGATTTTGGACGCGTCTTTAGGTGTTGGTTTGGATTGTTTTTCTGTAGCATGCTTCTTAGCTTGCTGAGAGGCTGAAGGAGTAGATTCCTGTGTCTTTCCGAAGAAAGACATCAAGCTCTTCTGCTTGAGATTCTCTGAAGACTTAGATTTTGAGGCCATGATGGTTAATGGGAAGGGGTGCCTGAGAATTTCAAATAAACGCCCAACCACCACTGACGGTTCGAACCTTCTTGAGTCTTAGAACTTCTTCCTCTGATCAGACTGCCCAGCGTTCAACGTTCAACGTTCAGCACGTAGCAAAATTCCACTTAAAATTAATCGATATCTCGATTCTCTGATTCAAGACAGCAATCCAGGATTTCACGCGAATTCCTCAACAATTTTCTCACCCTAGATAATCACGGAGTGCCCGTTCCTAACAAACGAAGCTGATTGCTCTGTATTCCTCATGACAGTACTTATTTTGAATTGATCTTGAATGGCAGCTAATGGCAGTGATATCATTTGACAACCACTTCCAACAATTCTATTCCTTCCAGCAATTACTTCGGAAATAGCAGAACCTGTTCAACATTTGGTGATAGTTTGGTGATGGGGCCTTGGTAGAATCGTGTTTTATTCAATGGCCCCTTCGTCCCTCTTCTTAGTCCTCCATGCACGTTCTTTCTCCTACTTTCGTTTCAATCCTGTTGAGAGTGTCCCTGTCTCTGGTAGGGAAAATTCATATCCTCCTTCGAATTAGTGATGCTAACGTTTCTGGGCAGGCAGATACATGCGCGGACACCTCATCCCTAGTCCCATTTCTACGCGCCTTCAGCAGCAGCGAGAACGACCATTTTTACACCACTAACGTATCTGAAATGAAGAACGACGCTCTCGCTGGTGGCGTCTACGTCTTTGAAGGCGAATCCGCTTTTCTTTGGCCTACACCCGAACCCGGCACCGTCCCCATTTTCCGCCTATACAACCAAAACTCCAGTGACCATTTCTACACCATGTCCTCTGACGAAGTTCCCGAAATGATGAACGCCGGATGGGCGTATGATACTGCCCCCAATCACACTGCAGGATACGTCTATCCTTATAGTATCTGCGGAGCGGCTCCGATTTATCGTTTATTCGATCCTACATCTGTCGACCATTTCTATACGATGGATATTGTAGAAAGTCAGAATGCGGTACAGGCAGGGTATCAGGACCAGGGAATAGCAGGATTCGCGATACTTCCTTCAGCCAATGGGACTGTTGCACAAAGCTCCGCCATTCCGTACCTCTTACCAAGTACCATTACTGCATCACCTGAGTCTCAAGTATCTGCCACGACCTCATCATCTTGCGCCAACATCGCCAATGCAGTCCCACTTTTGCGTGCGTACAGTAGTGGTGGGACCGATCATTTCTATACCACAAACTCAACTGAAATGAATGACTCGGTCGCGGTGAACGCTTACTCCTTCGAGGGAGACGCAACGTTTCTTTGGCCCACTCAAGAGACATCAACTGTTCCTCTGTACAGATTATGGAATCTCAACTCCAGCGATCACTTCTATACAATAGACAAGAATGAAGTCAACGAAGCACTTGCTATGGGTTTTACCTTTGACACCGAGGCACAAAATGTCGGATACGTTTATCCTTACAGTATATGCGGTGCTTCTCCCATCTACCGCCTCTTCAGCTCTTTCGGTTCAGACCACTTCTACACTATGAACCAAGCCGAAAGCATGAGCGCGCCAGGGTACGTTCTAGAGGGTATCGCTGGTTATGCTTTGTTGCCCTCTGCTGATGGGCAGCGCCAAACATCGGCTTCGCCGTTTTTATTGCCTCTGTCGCTGCAGGCTTCGCCGGTGTCTATTTCGTTGAGCCCAATACCAGCATTTACGACGTCTATAGCCATAGATACTGGCTCCCCTTCAGGGTTACCTAGCACAGCTGGAGTCCAGAGCACGGTGTCGCGTCATGTATTTCTTGGTGTGACGGCGTTGGTTGCGTTCTGGATAGCTTCATAGTGTTTGCTAAATATGAAAAGATGTGGATCTTCGACCCTCTTTTTTCCAAGGTATTCTTACTACGAGTATTATGATATCAATCTTTGACTTACCGCTGTTTATTTATTTCTCTCTTTGAAGAGGAACGCGTTTTGTATTCAGTAAGGTATGTACTTTTTGAATCTATCACAGGTAATGTTCAAGAATGTCATTATGCTGTTGTAATTATTTGTGCAAGTAATACATACATATTGCCCCATACAAACTCGTTCAAGTTGGTAAGTTTATGATACATACTGGGGGTGGTAGTGGCATTCAGTAGATATATACATGCCGAAAATGTGTGGGACTGAAATCGTCATTTTGCCAGCACCGTAGCGTCGAATACACGGACCAAGAGGGGGAGCACCACTCTTGCGGGACTAATGAAAGGGGGAATCACCATCCCACCGCCCAATCCACGCCTATGCCAAGAATCAACTATCAAATATAGAACTCGTGATTAGACACCAGTAAATTAATCCAGCTCGACGAAAGGATACGTACTCATCGGTTGAGCAAAGAAAAACATCATCGAGTAAACCCACAATCTCCCTATCCATCCTCCAACCCTTTTTCCGGTCACAATTCTCCACACCCTCTCCAGGATTAATATTGGACCTTGCAACGCAAAGAATGCAGGAACAACAGGGTCAAATCCCTGACCCATAGCGTATATCGCACATTCATGGAATAGCCCAGACGCGATGAAGGTGCCAAGTAGTGCACCAATATTTCCAGCGACCCATTTACCTGGAATGCCTCCATACACAACAAAAGTACGCTTCAACAATTGATGCCACCGTTTAGCCCAGAAGACGTGCATGGAGTCCGCTGTCCATGGATGATCCATCACGGGAGGCCATGAGGAGGGTGAATCGTCGCAGACGTAAACAGCTATGATCGTCAAAAGGTCGTAAACCATATGGAACCCGGAAAGAAGGGCGGTTCCTGTAAGCATGTGTATCGTTGTAGACACAATATATCGTTGCGGTATAGGAAGATTTTGGTAAAAAATGGATCCACCGGCTGGTGTACCAACACCGGGAAACAGTTTAATGATGGATTCGATGAAGTCGAGGAGGAGGAAGTGTTCAATGAATGACCAGAGGGTCACGTTAATGAACTCTTTCCGCTCTAGAGGTCTAGTTAGTTTAGGTATATGTGTCCCGACGCCGAATTTCCAACCCGAACCCCGCATTTCGTGTGCAAGATTTAATGCATCTCCGAAGGCAGATATGAAGTCAGAACGTTGATGTTCCGGGGATGATAATCGGGAGTCTGCGTCTATATTTTGAGTATCGCCATTCGAGTAATGTTTTGCTTTTGCTTTGCCTTTCGGTTGATTCGGTTGAGATTCCCCCATTCGCAACATGCCTTCGGGTGTGAGTGCATATTCCAGAGCTTTGGCTATTACGACTTCTGCAGCCAGACCTATGTTGAAGCGTCTCTCAATGAACGGGAGTCTTATTGCGAAAGTAGAGACAGTGAAACGCACCTTGACCCCAATTATAGACATTCAAAGCCGGTATAGTCCAGCAATATCGGAATGCTGACGCGAGAGTTGAAGTAATTACTATTGGCAGTAGTAGCAGCCGTATTAGGTACGTCTGCGGGCGCCGGGCAAGGTAAGCTAAGAAAAAGAATGGAATGAACCAGGACAACGAATAAGGGATGACATCTAGAGCGATTGGTATGCGGTTTTGAGGCTCCGGTATTATGAGTCGAAAGAAATCGTAAAACCCGCGTATTATTCTGAAATATATCAGTTAAATGAAGAGAAAGCTTTTGGAAATACTGACTCCTGTATGAATTGGCCATGGGAGGACATTATGGATTCGTCGCTGGATCTATGTACTAGTAGGATGACGCATGTTGTTATTGGGCGCGCCTATTAAGCGCCTTTCCTTCTTATGTGGCGTATTCTGAAAATACTCGACGGCCCGTTCGATGTTCAGCTTATCGCTGCGACCACAATACCCCCAATGGCCACAACATTGATTCGAAACTATCTGAGTCGGCACAGAGTTGAAGCTTTTAGACTGACCCTTTTCGGCCGCTCTCTCCTTCTTCTCACTTGCGAAATCCTAGCCAATGCCTTGTGCTGGACAGCTGCTGGTGTAATGTTCGGTCGTACCAAAGAAACAAAGTCAATTCTCGGACTTGCAATGCTTGCATGGGTTCGTTCAAATTCTGACAGGTTCAATGTTTAACTCATCAAGCATCTCTACCAGACTTTGGGGTTGCGGCATGGTAAATTCAGATCATAATTCCTTTGGCTTTAGAAAATTCCTACCTCAACCCTTCACGCTAACGATTGTGCTTAGCTTTGGACGCTGATCATATCAGGTGAGTATTGATAAGAGTTCTCGTCTCCGGTTACTAAGCTGAAAGCTTAAGTGCAATCGATAATGCAACTCGGGGATTCATAGCGATGGACCAGTTACCTGTCACCTGTGGGCTTTACTTCTCTCTGGGTCATAGCACCATCGTCATTGTCGTAGTGCGTGTTACAGATCCGGCTCGATTTTCGGATAGATGACTTGATCACCTCCCCAGAATGTTGCGATTGCCATATCATCAAACATCGCAAGTAAATTAGACGGGGTAGGCCAAGTTGGTAGCATAATCGGTACGTTGCATGTTGATGGTCATTAGTGTCACCGCTGAGAACCATATACCTCTTACAGGCTCAGCAATCAGTGGATCATTTTTGTTCATCGTTGCACTCATGAACTCCATCATCCTGTTCAAGCTGATGAGACGGCGGGTCTGTGATATCAATCGAAATATTTGCAGCTGAACTAAATTCACAACAGCGACTCCGCTCTCAAGCAGCAAATTCTGATTCTGCCGATAATGTGCCATACAACCCAAAAGAAAATCATATGCTAATGATGAGAATCATCGGGCCTGTGGTAACCTTTGTAAACAAACCTTGGAAGGTAAACAAGTCTCATCTTGTTGCGCCGATGAGAGTGATGATTATTGACTCTCCCAGATAGATGTACCCTGTAGGCCTACTCTTTGGTCTCGGATTTGATACCACATCTTCTATAGCCCTCCTCGCTGTCTCTGCGTTAACCAAGACATCCGGTGGAAAAGCTATCCCTCCCTCAGATGTTGTTATTCTTCCGGTACGTCTCACAAACCGTTTTCCTCTTCGCGAGCCGTCTCATTAATTTGAGTCGGCATTATTTACCCTACATGATATACTAGTTTCTTTTCACTGCAGGAATGACGTTAGTCGACTCACTGGATTCGGTGTTGATGTTATATTCTTATGCTGGCTTTCCGGAACATTCTTTGAGAATTTTCGAAACAAGTCGCATGCATCGTGATAGCATCAGCGAACTTACTCACCCGGATGGTGACCAAATCGAAACAAAAGTTGACATTCCTGTTGGCAACGAACCCCAGTCCGAAGCAGAAATACAAATCACTAAAATTGCTCAGGTTAAGCAAAATGCGATTTCGGGTCTTAGTATTCTCCTCACGCTAATGAGTATAATGGTCGCCCTCAGGTAGTTCATTATTTGTATTGACTCGGATGTGCTTCAAAAAATTGATAATATCTGGTCTTTCTTTCCTTTGTGGCAGCATCTCTTTGATCGAAATCATGGCGTTGATTGGTAATAACTGTACTCCTTGCCAAACTGCGGCTCAGGCGGAGGACGGTGGTGGCCTTGCTGGGAGTTGGTGGAGGGGCTGGAACGTGGTTCGCCTTTACTTCTTTCTCCGAATCGCGAGATGAAACTTCATCTACTTACATCGTACACATTATACTTACAGGCAAATAACCACATAGGCTACATCGGTGCAGGAATTGTTGGTGCGTTCGTGGTGCTCGTCGGTGGTTGGTACGCGTTCACATGGGTAATAAAAAGAATTCGTCAGCGTAGATCTGTGTAAGAAATTTTGGAACAGCAGCAAAGGAGTCTTTGTCAATGTAAAAAACTATGATAAATTTCTATTTTTGACTCCCTTTGTCTTCAGTCTTCAGTCAGCCAGCCCTACATTTCGCAATGTTCTTTCCAACGGTTACTGCTGGTTACTGTGATTGTAATGATGCTCCTTAGTAAACATTGATCGTGCGAACTTTAACGTAACGTTTTCGGTCTTTCCTTTCCTTCTGTTTCTACATTCCTCACCAAATCTCTCGACATCCCTTCATACGTGCCAGGATGTTTGGACTCTTATCCTCTCAGTCCACCGGTGCAGAGTCATCCAAGGATGTCGCTCCTGTAGCCTCAACTGAAGATGCTGCATCATCTCTTCGCGCCGCTGCACTGCTTACTCTTAAGTCCAGTAAACGACGGAAAGTAAAGCCTGATCAGGCTCAGTCGAGTACTCTCCCTATTCGTCCAGCAGCCGTCGAAAACTCTGTACAACTTGACTATGGGCAAGACGACGCCGAAACTGACATTGCCTCTTCACCACCAGAAAAACCCTCGCTTAATCAGCAACCTCCTCCTTCCATCAAAATACCGGAAGTCGATATGGAAGATGGTCAAGTACGTGAGGAGGGTGAAATTAGCGACTCGGAAGAAGTTTCTCCGGTAATTGCTGCTGCGAGTGTTCAGTCGAAAACAACCACACCATCACCTACTTCCAACCGTCCCTCTCCGCCTAGGCCTTCTAACAATCGCCACGTTCCATCGTCGACATTTGCTCTCAAGGTTGAGACTTCGTCATCTAGCTTGTTGGACAGAATGTCAGCCGTTCCTCACGGCCCTTCTTCAAAGTCTCCCCAACGGGTTGAAGTCACTAATGGGGAACATACGTATTTTGTTGATGTTGATCATGTTCGACCTGGTCTAGAAAGTTGGTCATGGTTCAATCTTCCCAAACCGTCTGGACTAAAATTTTTTCATCTTTTCAGTGAATCAAGAACAATATGATACCGCAAAAGATATCGTACTGGACCTTCTAGGCTGGGGCGTTGCTCCCGAATACTTAGTCGATTGTGGCCTTAGTCGGGAAATTGTATTCTACGTTTTCAGCGAGCTCAATCTGCGTCTACCACAAAATCTCAATACAGATGGTATCATTCCCTACACACCTTCCACTCTTGAAACGTTGCTACGAGTTCCGACAAGAGTATCGTCTCCTTTGGGATCTGATTCTGACACCCCACGCCCTCTGGGCCATCCAAGTCTACCTCCCAAACCTTCTTTTCCTGGTCAGGATCTCTCAAGAGACAGTATGCCAAAGCCCGCGGAGTCTTCTGGAGACACCGCAGACGTCACAGTTCTACTTGACATGGAGCGCCAACGACGGCAAGAGCTACTTGCTCGCAAGGCTGTTCAAGCTTCGCGGATAACTCGAAGCATGGGTTCCATTTCACCAACGTCAAAACCTATGGATATTGACGACAAGGACGTTGAGATGACTCCCTCGACTTCGTTGGCGCCGTCAGAAAGTGTCGACGACTTTCTGCGGAGTATTGAACCGGTGGGGTCAGGAAAAATGGATGTCGATGAAGTTCCAGGGCTTGCGTCAACCTCAACACCTGTGCTTGTGGAACGAGAAAAGTCAATTGACCGTATGGTCGAATCCCCCTCCAGTCAAACCCCTCTTCCAACTGATGAGCACCTTATGTCTTCTTTTGGTGCTTCTACTTCGGGGGAGGGCTCGCGGCGGTCGTCATCCAGTGAAGATATATCTGGTACAAGTAATGGCCTAGCCCGTCGAAACGGTAAACGACCTGTTGCCGCGGATTTCGTTGACTTTGATGCTGCCCCGCGAGATCGGCACGGTTCCGGTATCAAGCGGAGTACCGGGAGCTTTGCCAGCATCAGCACAATGCGTCGATGTGTCATTGATTTGAGCGACAGTGAAGGCGAAGCAGATGGTGAGGACGTGCAGATAAAACCTGCAGCTGTGCCTCCAGGAACCACAAATAGTCGTTATTCAACCCCACCGACTTCCTCTGCTGCTGCTGCTACCCCAGACTTTCGAACGATGTCTCCTGCTGCTTTAGCAGTAAAAGAACTGGAAATCCAGAAGATGAGACAAATGATTGCAGAACGCGAACAGGGGCGTCGGATGAAGCTCAAGGTAGGTTCAACGGAGCAAATTTGCGCGAATTTTAAGCTAAAAACGTGGCAGAAGCTCGAGGCTATGAGTAACCCGGACAGTATCCCTGTCAAACAAGAAGAAGAGGATCTTTTGTCATCTCTTGCTATACCCGTCACTCAATCCCCTTCCATGGAGTCTTCCGGTATATCTCCTATGCATCATAGAATATTCATTTCATTAATTATCTCTGTGCGAAGTCACCGCGAACACCATATCCTCGTCGGCTGAAATTGGTTCTCTTATCTCCTCGCCACTGATTCTTCGGCTAACACACAATGGACCTTGCTTCTCCTTACCACGATACAGGTAATGACATAACGAATACTGAAGGCTTAAACACTCCGTCGATCGAGAGTCAAGGTATTTTGATATCTTCAGGACGATATAGGGTGCTGACTTTCGGTAGATGTAGAAAGAAGCCAAGACCCCAAGAACAATCAAGTGGCAAGAATTACACTGTATATCAACTCGAGTTTTCATCTGACTTTCACTATGTTTGAAACTTGTTCAGACAATAGAGATTGCAGAAAGGAGCCCAACGGCAGAAGCAGTCGACGTCGACTTACCCTCGTCTTCGTCGGCACAGGTGCGTCTCCCGAGTTCGTTTGCTCTCCCTTCAATCCGCATTGGCTTTATTGAATTTCTCATTTTACCTGTAGACGACACCGTACCTGTCGGAGCACCACCCAAAGCCAGAAGAAAAGGCCCTGCAGCAAGAAAAGCATGAACAACTTGCGTCCTCGTACATTTCTATCTTTGATTCTTATCCTCTTTTGCGCTTTCGGCCACGACCAATTCTTCAAGAGGGAGTTGGCACGATTGCGACACATTCTTCACCTTCATCGGCTTCGATTATTACTGCTCATTTCTTGTCTCCTACGTCCTCTTTCTCTTCTCCCTCTTCTTTCCTGTCTTTGTTATCTTTGCTATCTGCTATCCGTATGGTCCGATTAGCAACCGTTAGTCAGCTTCTTGATCCTCACAAACGAGTATGTCAGTATGAGATACCAGGTGGAGGGATTTGTAAAGATTCGGATTGTGAGGATTTTCATATGCATAGGATGGGTGGCGCTTCAAGAGGTCTTGCCATAGTTGAGCCTAGTGGTGAGCGGTTCAAAAGCAATTGTTCCATGGTTCGCTCATCCTCCTTGTCTCTTTCATAATATCACCTGCTACCGCTACAGATCAAGACATCGCAAATTATTTGTCTAAGGCTCTTTCTGAAAGCTGGATCACCACCTACGGGGATTCACTCTCTTCTCGGATCATGACTACTCTTGAAGACGTCCGGGTCAATCACCCAACAATAACTCTTGAAGAACGAGTGTTCAGGGTATGCGAGAGACTGCAACCGCACCCTCCGCCCTCGTAATGCTCCCTACGAGTAAACCTTCAACTGGCCAACAAGAAGCTACGAAATACACACCTCGTCGTCTTTCCAGGCCGCGATCGTAGGAGATGGGTCCCCATTCAGCGTCTCGTATGCTTTCTTTGGAAATCTTGCTTTGAGCGACGCCTATGAAGATCTCACCAAGAAGACTCAAGAGGACGGACAAGTGCTTGATTGCATTCGGATTCGAACAAAGGCCACCAATTACAGAAATAAAGGACCTTGGAATCAATTGATTAAACAAAAACAAGGGATGGGGGATCATGAAGAGCGCAGAAGCGCCACTTGATTGTGAGGGAGTGAAAGGTTCTCTTACCTTTCCTTCCTTACTTCAAGAGAGCTAGTGTCAAACTGCATTTGGATCTGGATTTTTCTTGCGATGTATATCTGTATCTTATCTCTCATTCTTTCATATACCTTTCTGCAATTAGAACCGCCTGCTTTTCTCTGCTTTTACGAATATTGAGTGAAACAGACTAAAATTTGGTCACGATACGGTGACGCGTCATGCTTTGCTCGTGTAAATTTTGATTGTTATCAATATCATTAACACTTATGTCGAGCTCGAAGATTTCCGTCCGCACTCTTCCCATCGTCACTGTGCAACCCACGTTCCCTATCGTCGTGAATGAAGTTTACTCTGGGGTAATCCCCTTTGAAAATATCTGGATATCCTGCTACAATAATTCTTCATCAGATCCTCCGGCTCCCTCAAGTTCCATACACTCCAAAGTTCGCGTTGTGCTCGACGATGAGGACCGGGAGAAGGTCGTTTACCAAGTACGCGAGGGGGATGTTCATATCTCAGAGGCAGAACGACGAGATTTCGGTTATATTTACTCAGTTTCCTCGCCTAGTCTGCGGATTCCGCCTACAAGGCTGTTATTTCCAGTCCAGGAATATGCCGATCCAGAAAAATCTAACCCACAGAAACCACACAGGATCACTGCATTTTCCCTTGCCCCCGACAGATCTCAGTATGCCATTGGGTATCTGGATGGATCGGTGTTGCTATACCCGAGTGTTCCTATCCAAAATTCTCAAAGCAAATATCCTACGTCTGCAATGTCCCCTCCATCAGAATCCACGTACACATACAGACGACAGGTCTTGATATCCGCGGCCAGTGCTAGCAGTGGATTATCTCCGGCATTAACCAGAGCTCACAAAAGTACAGTGACCTCCTTACGGTTTTTTCCTTCTTCTCGTGTCCTGTTATCTTCTGGTGCCGATTTCACCTTGCAGGTGTATCCTGCAGATCCGATTGCTGCTGCTTCAGTATCGTCTGCTTCGGGACAGAGTAGCAAACGCGTATCCTCTGTACGCACATTGACTGCTCATACCCGGAGCGTCACTTCTTCGGCTATGATCGGCCGCGGTCGCGCAATAATATCTTCTAGCATGGATGGCACCATCCGTGTATGGAACGTTAGCACAGGCGAAGAGGAGACACTAGTTCACTCTGCTGCCGGAGTGGGTATCGGTATCAATCGAATATTTCTGGACTCCGATCGCGATTTATCGTCCTCGGAAGATGCAGAGCCTTCCTCCAATAGCAGGTTGTATGCCGCCCTTCGTGACGGATCTTTTGAAGTTTTTGCGCTTGGTGGGAACCAAAAACCTCGGAAGCTTGTACACGAGTTCCGCTCGGAAAAATCAATCTATGGTGCCCTCAATGCGATAACTGTCAGCATGCCTACTGCAGAAGCGAGAGAAAAGTTCATTGCGGTTGGATCTGCACAGGGTGTTATCAGTATTTACAACGCCTCTTCATATGCCTCCGTCCATTTTCGCAGAAATGAGGCTAGTATCGAGGATCTGGATTTTGTCCCCCTTCCTCAATCTAAACTTGGGCTGGTTATCACTACAGGAGACGGATTACCTTGGATTGCATCCCTAGATGAACTTCCCATAACGGGGTCGGTTGATGCTAAAGTATCCGTATACGCAGAACTTGTCGGTGGTGATGTTGACGCCGTGCGTAACGTTTCCGTCCATACGGTTTCCTCTACAATTGAGGTGTGGACTGCTAGCGACGATGGAATTGTAAGGAGATATGTGCTCTAATGCTTCTGGTTCTGGTTCTTAGTGCCGTGTTGGGTAGTCTGGGGCCAGTAATGTATAGCCATGGACTATCCAAATTGAATTCATCGGGTTTCAAACTTTTTGCATGTCGTTGGTTTTGTCGGTGACCAGTGATCACCATGTCATGTCAACTTTTCTTCATTCGGGTAATCATCCAACATTTCATTCGTCATTGCTACAGATGGAGGAATTAATCATTTTCAGAAGGAAGCCTATCCCTTCTTCTACAATTTATTATCTGCTGAAAGGCCTCTCAGTCACCAGTGCATAAGCAACGCCGTTCTGTTAGGCTTGTGATTCCACTACATCAATAAGAAAAGCGGAAAGGCACTTCCTGGCATCCCGCGCACGGTGCGTTCCATCTGTTGACTTCTATTGGACTAAACTGAGCGAACCGATAACTAATACGCATTGAGTCATCGCTCCTGCTCACGTCCGGATACCCGTTTTTCCCTTCTCGGATCCGATATGCACTGAACACTGATGAAGCTTATGAAGACAAGTTCAGAAATTTGAATTTGTACCGCTGAAAATAAATTGTATTCGTCCCCGAGCCAGAAGACTCATGTTTGAGAAAACGTTGTCTCCTTTGATAAGGATGAGTTCTTCGTCTCCGTACCCTGTCCGTACCTACTGAATTAATCGAGACAGCCGTTTGTGTTCAGAATATCCTTCGAACAAGGATTTGACCCTGGTCCACATTAAAGCCTCAAGAGTCCATCCAATCTCCGCTCGCGGGAGTGGCTAGAAAATCCTAGTTACGACCCATCCAATTTCTTGGTCGGAAGTATAGGCGTTTGACGGATTTGATCTTAGCGTCGACAGTCATCTTATAAATATCACTCTCCACAAGCACAGGAGTGACTTAACACGCATTCGACGTAGTAATTTGGAAATCAATACTCTATGTAAAGACCACAAATCTAAAATATTTGACCCGACCTCTGTATAAAAGTTGTGAGAGGGCTTCCCAGAGAAACGAAAAAAAGCCGATTATTTCCCACTGTGTATAAGGACCTGCAGACCTGTGCTACATATTGCGATGAAGTATCATTCTCTCAAGTCTCGCTCAAAAGACGTGGGTGGCGCAAGATTTTGCTTGGAAACCTCGAATCTAATGGCGGGTTGGCGACTCTAACAAACCGCAGTGGTGCTGTATACATACGTCAGTATCTTGCTAGTACCAGCCTGAGGAGCCTAGTACTTTGATCATATCATAATCTAATTCAGATAGTATTCAGATTGAACAAATCGATATCTGACCTTGGTTGTATCTCATTCATATGATGGTCCTACATTGACGTCAATAGTGCGCAATTCACGATACATTCGACCTCCTGCTGAGAGGACTAGCGATACGGCTATACAGTGGGATCATCTAGATTTGCGCCACCATCCGAGTCCCAGAGGCTTTCTATTGACATCAGGCAAGGATACGCTCCAATAAACTCCAAGCTCCCAAACTGTACGAGAGGTGCACCAAGTATATTGTAGTCCGTACTGTTGTTGTTACCTTGTGAGCTTACTCTCTTTTCAAGTTGCAAAGATTTTGAGCTTGACATAAAACCGTAAACGCTGCGGATCGGGATCTTGCAAATCCAAACGATTTCGTTCACGGCCTACAATTTACTATAGGTGTAAAGTTATCTATTTTCGCTGATTGACTTTCAATGAGGGATGATGATGGTTTTCTTCTCGAGCCATATTAGTCAATTGTCCTCAGCCTGAGGCTGTTAACAATAATTTCCGTACCTCCTCGCGCCTTCTCGCCTCAATGGCAGTAATCATGACTTGTCTCTCTGCATAAGAAGCCATCTTTCTACTAGTCGGCTTGACTTTAATGAAAAAGCTTCTTAACCCCAGCAAGCCCCAGCACTGTGTCGGTCTGTACCTTCGATATTAAATACACAGGATAGGATAGGATAGGATATGAATTATACTGGCGCAGTACCGAAATGCCCGTGGGTGTAAGTCCATGCCACCTGCGCGCAGCAGCTAAAGTGACACTATGGCATTTCGAATGCTCGTCGTGAACTATTGTCCGACTACGTCAAGTTGAGGATGCTGGTTGGTATTCCACGTCAACGTCGAATTTGAGTCAGGCCCTCTGTCTCTCTCTCTCTCTCTCAGGCCGCTAGCAAGCATCGAGCCAATTGCAAGGGTTTAGAAAGCTTGAACTGAAGCAAGGGTTCCCAAAGATTAAACGATCTAGGAGGATCTAGGTAGCGAGCAGAACCTGGAAGCGAGGGCTTCGCAGGGGATTGTGAGTTTTTCAGCGCTCAGCAGCCGTAGAACTTTCTTCTCCCGCTGGCTTCCTTATGCCTGACGAAAGTTCAAGACGTCGATAGTAAAACGAACGGTCTTGAGCATAACAAAAAAAATTGTGATCGTTGCAGAGTTAACCAAAAGACCGTATTTTCCAAATGAAATTAAACTTCGGTCTCGACAGCTAAAACATAATCGCACGTCGAGAGCTTGTTTGAGCCAGACGGCCTAAGCAGTTTTGGCGTTCGAAATGAACGGTCGAACGATATGATGCTGACTGGAGCCAATCTGTCGAGTCGGTCTTGCCATATAGAGACGCGTTGTTTTACTCCGCCTCAACATGCTACTTACAAATGAAGGACTCTAGCCATTTCATTTGAAAACAAGGAGACAAAATCACTGACCTGGACATTCCTAATAGATATCACATTGAATTGGCGAAACCTGAGAAAATCGACTATCATGTATAAACAAAGACGAGAAGGTGTCCGACTCAACTTTCATGCTCATGAAAATTCGGTTGTAGGAAAAGATCGTATCGATGAATGATCACTCGCCACCAACTTTGCGTTGCTCGATCCAAGGTAATTTCTCTGTTTGTGGAGTTTGTGGATACAGATAGATGTTTGATGCCGATGACTTGATATTGGGGATCTTAGCCGCTATGTAGCTCGACAAGTCTAGCTATTCAATTTGTAGCCATTCTTAGAGCTTTCAGCCAAGGAAAATCGTTTATACATACCATTCACTGTTCGATTCCTTCCGTTCTTGAATCCTTTCATCTCGTCAGGTTACAGAAGCTCACACGAAGGCAAGTCAGCTGGGACGATACTGCATCAAAGATATCCAGGAGTGGGTGCTTGACCATATGCAGACGTGATGCGCCCGCCACGGAGATCGAAGTTACCGGGTGAAATCTGAGCTGAGTGAGAAGTACTGAAAGAGCCAGGCAGTTAGTGGTTCGTGCAAGGCTAGACAAGTACATTAACTTTCAACAAGATCACACGGGAAAAGCACCCGCAGTATCTATCCATCCTTCAGGAAAGATAGAACCAGACAACGTGTTGTGGTCGCGAAGGAAACGTTACAGTAAGTGTTTACCAGTGGCACAGAGTCTAGAGATATGAGTTTACGAAAGTTCAATTAATATGGTGGAACACTGGATAAAAAGGACAGAAATCACCGGAGGTGAGGAACGACCATGATATTGGCCCGATTTAACGAGTCAGTTGTTTGACAAGCGTGAGAGGAAATCAGGCAGTCCACGTGGGTATTAATTTATTATAGGAAAATGAGCTGCCATTTTAAGACAAGGCAGTGTTTGCGCATGTCAAGCAAAAGCAAACACCCGGCTTTGGCTTCCTAAAAAGCTCACTCAGTTTTCCCTCCTCTTTCCCTTTTCGACCTAAAGCCGTCTTGAATCTACCACGTCCAGTAAATAATTGTTTAGTTCCTTCGCGTTTATTGCTCGCTCACATCTGCTCTTCACTGTCTTCTAGTCCCTTATTGTTCCTTGGCTTGATCAACAAGTCTTTTTATTCGTTGGTTTCATGCAAAAGCGCTCTAGAATGGACATGGCAGGCAACCCAGCTGATCCTCAACACTCTCATCCTGGTCACCCTGGCGTTACTGACGACGCGTTTATCAATGACCGGGACGCCGTAGACAGCGGCGGCGACGACGACGACGATGATGACAAGCCAAAGAGCGACAAGAAAGCTGGGAGACGAAAGATTAAGATCGAGTTTATCCAGGACAAGTCCAGGCGGCATATAACATTCTCCAAAAGGAAAGCTGGTATGTTCAATTTTTCCGTGTTATCTCTTGAAACCCTCTTCTAACCGTGCCTTCTCACCTTCCCGTTTCAGGCATTATGAAAAAGGCAATTTTTATTCCTGATTTATCGATGTCTATGTCTGACACACAACTTAGGCTTATGAACTTTCTACCCTCACTGGTACTCAAGTATTGTTACTTGTTGTCTCTGAAACAGGTCTCGTTTATACTTTCACCACCGCTAAGCTCCAGCCGCTCGTCACCCAGCCTGAGGGCAAGAATCTCATCCAGGCATGTCTGAATGCTCCTCATGGTTCTCTACCATCTTCCATGCCTGTTGGCGCTCCTCTTGGTCGCTCGAGTAACATAGGTCCGCCTGCTGCGACACCAGCGAACAACATGCCAGGTGGGCTGTCTATTGGCTCCACCGCCGGCGGAAACGCAAAGGAAGACGAAGATTCCGTAGAAGAGGATGAGTCTTCTCGAGGTGGACGAGCGCAAGTCGGAGATAAGCGACGTCGACGTGCTTCTTCAAATGCTGGCCCGCCACCACCATCGTCGTCCAGCAATCGTGGTGGTCCCACTGGTTCACCTCATTCCGTTAATAGCACTATCCCTCCCCATCTTTCAATATCGTCTGGCACTAATGCCTCCCAATCCCAACCATCATCCGCTCATCCGGGGACTTCACCCCAGATGTCAATGGGCGCATCACCTACGTCTCCACAGCAGGGACATGCTGTCCCTCCAACAAACAGCAATCCGCAGTACGCTTCTTCCTACGGTCATCATACACATCATCCCTCACAACATCCTTCGCATCAACAACAAAGTCCGGATGGCGGAATGTATGGTGGTACACCCGCGCACATGATGCCTGCGGGAAACTATTCGTATCCTGGTAATCAGTCAAACACAACTGGTGGCCAACAACAGCTTGGCGGCTTGGCTGCTGCTGCTGCACAGCATGGACATTGGGGTACTGCCCAACAACAACAGCAGCAGCAACCGCAGCAAGTGGCAGGACAGAATACGCATTACACACGGCGATAGTCCCTCCTGACAGATAATACCTTTTTTAATGAGTACAGTCCCGATGTGACCGTTAGTCGCTTTGTTCCTTGCTGTTCATGATCATGCTTCTTTCAAGTCTACTCACCGGTTTTCGGTTAACGAGTCTTGTATCACCTTATACGATTTTTTTCTCTCGGTTATATTTTCCCTTTCTCTGCTCCGAGATATCATAAAGAAATGTAACACCATAGGTTTCTTTCTCCACTCATCTCTTGCTTCATATCCGTCGTTTTGGCGTGTATCGTATTTCTTGTATGGCGAGTGCTTCTTCTCTATGCCCCTCTTATGTTTCCCTACTTTATCCGACAAGGTCCGGACGTGTCGCTTATTACTGTACTCTTGTATGTAGCGCTATATACGACTGTCCGGTGTCTGGCTAACGAAACGTGTGAGTGTAAAGGTGTCAAGTCCACGTCGACGATGGTTTGAAACCATGATGATAGATTCAACGTTGACGTTGAATGCTCCGGTCAATGTTCATGTAGGAAGTGTGTCGTAACTTGGATCCAGGAGACCACCTGAGACCAACCGAGACCAAGGAGCAACAATCAACCTGCAGGATAAAAGGGAAAAGAGTGCAATACAATCCTTTCCCTGTCCTTTTCTATACCTGGATGGAGAAAGATGAAAGCAAATCTACATACATAGAGCAAATGCATTTGGAAAGATCCAGATTCTCCTCGACATCACTAGATCTACCTTGGCTCGATTCGGGGTGAATCTTTTATTGAGGAACGAGCGGGTTGAGGACTGTGGGCGCCGGGGATGGCATCGGTCATTACGCGAGGTAGAAGGGACGCACGCAGCCTAACGATCAAGTTCATTATTGCTCTTATCTGCTAGCTGAGATTCTGGGGTTGGATAGGACACAACGATTTCGAAAAAAATTTACTACTTGGAAGATATACTACTATACACAGTACTTATGTACAACATGCAAAGGACAAAAACAACAAACATAAGTATAATTTAAGTGATCGTGAGGGGTCTTGAGTGATCGTGAAAGATGAAGATGGTTGAACAAACAAAGGTATAATGAGCCAGATGCAATATGCAGATAGAAGTCGAAAGATGTGATAGATAGGGTGATGAAAAAAGGCTACACGGAGTTCTAGATGAATCAACAAAATCGAAAGAGAACGAGGAATTGGGTTGAATCAATTATCCGAATCTGTACAACAGATCCACGACCTACGTCGCCCATTTAGGGTACTTGTGCGCTTCGATCTAAATGTGTCGTTGAAATTCTTGAATACAACGGAGGCATCATGTTTATGATGCCTCGACGCCTTTCCAGGCGACAAAGATTCGAAGCGACCGACTGAGTCTTCTTGACGGGGCAACAGACGAGGCAATGGGTGGTAAACTCCGAGAACCTTGCTGGGTTTTCGCAAGAACTGACGAGACATTACTGCGGCCATTCATAGGAGAGGCTGGTAGACTATCCGCAGTTGCAGAGGAGTTGAAGATTGAATTAGATGGTGGTAAAATGGGTTGGTCTGCTCGTTGTCGAGGAACTTCACCTGACAGAAATTTGAAGTTGTTCCTCTGATGTTGCTCTGCCTCCCACTGCTGATATTTCTCACACTCTGTTTCGAACGTTCCACGTTCGGCCGAAGGAGATGCAGGAAAGGTAGTCCATCCGAAACGCTCCTGAAGTACAGCAGGCAAGGCCATACAGTCTTGCATATCTCTAGAAGCACATTGAGATGCATTAAAAAAACAGTCAAACCAAGAGGCTTACAGGTAAAATCGCCTCAACATATCTTCATAAGTCTCTCTGGTTAACTCAGTGAGGGCAGTCTTTAGTCGAGCTTCATTGCTCTCTGGCTCTGACGGTTGATCACGAGATGGTGGGCGGACTGGTCCAATCGACGGTGAGCGCGCCCTTGTCTTTTTTTCCTGAATATTTTTTTTATTTCGGATTTGCTCTTGGTAATCGAGGACCCACTCCCACATTGTCTCTGAACATGCCAAGATCTCTGTCACTCTCAAAGCGAGGTGTAGATTTAGGCTCCTGAGATCAATGTTCATGGTGGTATTAGGTAGCCGGAATCTTACATCGTGGGCGGGGTTGTGTGGTCTGGGGGAGAACATATCGTGCGTTCCGCGAGGAGGGTCGATCTCACTGTAAGATCGATCAGCATCTGCTGCTGCACTGTCCTCTTCCTTCATAGATCCTGTCCGAGCTGATGCAATAGACGATGCTAAAGAGGAAGACGCAGGCTGTTTTATTGACGAGGAAAGAATAGACGCCCTAGTCGAAGGCGAAAGTGCCGAAAGCCTCGAGCCGTCGTAAATGACATAGGGAGATTCACGCTTTACAATCTGCCGCATATTTATCCAATGGTCAGGTAGACCTTCAAAATAAGCTGTGCGGGCACTGGATGGCGTCGGTGAACCAGTAAGACGAGATGATACGTTGGAAGCGTTCGACATACTCCGGCCTCTCGCAGTGTGTACAGTACCAGCAGATAAGGGGGAAGGACGAATGGCATCTTGGGCATCTTCATCGGGATCAGGATCAGGATCACTAGAGCGTGACTGTTCTACGACAGGTATGGGAGGGAATGTGAATATGACAGGCGGATGTGTCCGGAGATCTAGAGGAAAGGGGATGAGAACCTATTAGAAGCAAGCAAAAGAGCGAAGTACCTTTAAAATACAGGCCCAGGAGATTTGGCAGCAACGATAAGGGCGAAAGGTTTACGAATCTCGCTGCATTCATCTCGTTGTATATCATCTCCAGCATCGAATGATCACGAGGATTCACTGGAGGCTTTGGAAGAGTCCTGAGGAGGAACGGAGCAGCTGTACTAGTAGATGATATGATTCGAGATTCCTTATCCGCGTCTACGGCCGCGTTAAGTGAATGAGGACTGCTTGATGATAATGAGTGCATGCTTTGTGAAAAACTCATAGACGGTAAGTGTATACTTGAACTGGTCCCGAACCCATTATTGCTGGTGGAGAGTGGGCGTTTCGGCGACGACGGGCTGTTACTGCTCGTCACGTAGTTCAACTTTGCGTATGGGTTGGGGGAGTATGGAGACGAAAGTTGAAGGTCCGTCAAAGAACCGGTTGAAACTGAGAGAGGATGTCGTAATGGAGTCGATTTCGAAGAGGCAGGAATGGATGGTGTATGAATCTCGGAAAGTTGTGGTTTGACTGGCATGATGGTAGAGTCTGTTGGTTCCTGGAAATGGGAAGGCATATGACTCTCAGCACTAGTGTCCAACTGGCCATTTGCTGTGTCGTCATTGACTGAAGCCCAGGTCGCATTTTTCTCTCCTTCCTCATCTTCCACGATTGCCTCGGCCTCTAATCCTCTTCCCATGGTGTTGGGAATAACGGATGGCATGCTCATGAATGCGGTTGTCGGCGAAGCAAGGAAGGATGGTAAGGCTGGTGCGGATGAAGAAGGAGACGGTAGAGGTAACGGGGAACAACGACTTGGGCTTGTTCCGCCAGCTGCCTGATTTGCGGGAGACGGAACCGCGAGGAGGTCATGGGTTGTCCGATCTTGTTCTTCTACAGATGAGTTTCTGGGGGAGCTCGATGTGCTAGCAAGTAACGAATCCCAATCTGAGCCACTATAGCGTTTTCGATCCAACTCCTGGTAATGATTTTCGTCCTCTCTTTCAGATATCACTAGATTATTTTCACCATCACCAAGCCCCATCAAACTGGTGAGAGTAGCATAGTCAAGCGTCGTATTACGTCTCTGGTCGCTGCCTTTTACGGGCACCGAACGTCGCCTGAAGGTTTTTTCTACGATGTGACTATTCGCTATGTCGGTTGCAGTAGAAGAGGAATCCGTCGAACTGGAACTTCGGGGTCTATTTCGATTGCGGATCTCTGGGCCCGAAGCGAAATAAAATGATGAAATTGACGAGGCGGAAGAATGCTGTCGAGCGTCCGAGTCTGAAAATAATGTAGATTCCACAGGGTGCGAGTTGAAATTCTCTGGGATACTTTCATTCTCGTCGTCAACACGGATTGCTCCTCCGGGAAACATCAGGTCTTCCTCAATCATCTCAAAAGCAGCACCAGGCTTCATAACCCTCAAGATTTCTTCAAAAAGATAGTCCCATTTGTCTTCCGGAACACCAAGACTAATACGTTTGATATGCCTATGATGAATAAATGTAATATGAGCGTTAGAACGAGACTTCCGAAAAATGGCTTACACAAAGTCGAATTCTTCATTCGGGAATGGGAGGCTTTCCAAGCTGAAGGATCGCGGTAAACATTTTGCATAGAAAGAGGCAAATTGGAGCTCACAAATTTCCTTGAATCCATGTAACTCTATGTGCCAGATCAGAAGAACCAACTTGTTGCAAGTCTGGCTGAATGGGCACGAGGTCCATCCCGACAAAATGGCATGTGCGCCAAATTCGGGCACAATCCAATATCCAAGAGCCAGTACCTGTGATTGCAAGTTTGATAACGACACCAAGAAAGGCCGAAAAACAACTAACCGCAACCGATGTCTAGTACTTTGGTTGGTGGATTCTCAAACACATGCCACGTTAAACTTTCGCAGATTTGGTGATAGAATAGAGTTTCCCATACGTCCCTGAAGAAAGATACTAGATGTGTATATCTTCTAGACGGAGGGATCAAAGCGGAACTCACAAGTCCAACACCTCTCGGTCGTAGCTCCTCGGGTAAGGTACATCTTCTTTCTTGAACGGATGGTGTTTTCTGCCTCCAGAAACACCCAATCCTCCCATGTCGTGTCCCAATCCTCCTCCCCTGTACCCATTATCCGAACCACTATTATTGGCAAGCGGTCCTTTGACGATGAATTGTGCCTCGCGCGCACTGATATTCCTTTTGAGCTCCTCAAGAATGGTGCGGTCTGCCGTGGAGAATTTGAGATTGTTAGCAGTCTGGTGATCAATATGTTGTTCAAGTGAGGATTTCGAGGAAAAGTTGGAGTTAGGTTTGGAGTGGGATTTTTGTATGCCTGGTGCGGGAGCTGCTGCGGACCCTGAGGTGGAAGCCGTATGAGATGACGGCTTCGCCAGGAATGGCTGTGGCGCCACGATGCCAGAGGACGTTGATTGTCGTGATGGTCGAGAAGAGGATGATACTGGTGGCGTTGTCGTGTGACTATGGCCTGTCGTACCTGAAGTCAATGGTGGATTGCGCGGATTTGGATGAGAAGATTTCGCGGAGGTAATTTTATGTGTTAATCGAGGACTAGCATTGCTATTCGTAGTCAGATTGGGTGACGACGAATTATGAGACGAAGAATTATGAGACGAAGATGGAGTAGGAAGGCCTGAGCCCGGGGTACCACGCTTCTGCAGCAAAGTATTGTTCGAAGTACCATGTCCGTTTGTAGTTGGTGGCGATTTGGCTTTGGCTTTGGCTTTTGCAGAAGACTTGGGACTTCCAGTCGACTTTCGCCGCAGCAAGTAAAAATCAGAGAAACTAAGCCCTGGGCCATGACCATGACCTCCAGCAGAAGAAGGTCGCTATGAATGCACGAATAAGAACGCGAAAATGAACAGGAATTCCATACTACTCACTATTGATGCGCGCTTCGACGACGCAGTCGGTGTAATCAATGTCGGTGGCGCTTCGGAAAAAGTCGCTGGAAAAGGTTCCAGCTCCCAAGGAGTCACTTCTTCCTTCGTCCCTGTCTGGGTTCTGGCTATCGACACATGCTCAAAGCCTGATTTTGTGCTGGCCAATGTCCTTGCAGGATTCCGGGGCGGCCTTCGAGGACTAACGAGAGTGTTTGCGCCCCTGCGGCTATGGTCGAAATCATCCAGAGCCCTGAGATGAGGGTAAGAAGAAGGAATTATTGTTGCCGTCGAGCTATTTTCCGACTGTGATCTCAGATACGGGGGTCGGCGAATGTCCATGATCTCCCTGAATCGTTGGGGGAACAGCGATTTTTTGTAAACGTAGTCGATAAATTATGAAAAATACATCTGGAGGAATGTTGGATGAGAATGGTGGTGGTAGCAGTTACAATCGTGGAAGTATCTGCAACTGTTACATTGGCGTAATCACACCGGTATGTAAAAGTTATCAGAATTTCCGGTGTCTTCCCGGTAGTTTGTACAAAGAGTACATTTCATTTCTTATTCGATTCAAATCCTGGTAAAATTTATACCAATCTGTCGACATACTTTAATAACGGCTATGCAAGTACACGGCGAAGACATAAAAATCCGTATCGTTACATACATAGCTCAGATAACAATATTTGGATGCAAACCAGAAGCGTTCAACGTTCAACCTTAGCTCACTAGCAGCCAATTACGTACATCTGTTCCCAATCAATAATTGTTCTATCTATACGCTTGTGTCTTCCTTGCTTTATTTCGTGTGCCCCATCTAAAAGAAGATACCCCATAACGCAATATACAAACAACTGAATTATCATTTGTTCAGTGACAAACAGATACAATTTATCAGAATCTTTCCGTCATGTGCAGATGTGCGATGGAAGGACCGAGATGGACGGGACCAGGAACGAAACTATGTAGACGATGTAAGTGCTTGTAAGTGCTGGAGAAAACAGGGGTTCAAAATTTTCATCCCAAGGAATCGAGGAACCAAGAGCTAAGAGAGATGCTCAAAGAACACATGAGTTTCATAGAGCCTAGGAGGGGCTGAGACCGTTAGACTTTGACCATTGCTTCGGAATCATCTATCCTCGTCTGTCCAATCCGTAGACTAACCCAAGCGCCACCCTTGCCGCTGCCTTCCTACGATCATCCTCATGCTCCATTCCAGAGATCTCCACTTTCATACCCTGAATGGCGCTCACCATATGCGTGAAGTCAAAATCCATATCATCATCGAATTCATCAAATTTAGCATTAGTCTCTTCAGCGGCATTTGCCTCGAGTCTCTTCGCAGATGAAGAGGACGGCGACGATAGCGTTCCAAATATCCGATGTGCGCTCGCCCTGATTTCGCTTTGAGTCGGGAGACCATCGTCGCTGTCATCCGCCTCCTTGTGGTCGTTGTCTGCTTGCATATGAGGGCTCGAGTGTGCAGGAAAAGCCTCTTCATTGGGTATATCACCCAAATCCGATGCACTTCCTAATGAGTGATACATTATCCCAGAATGCTGGTCAGGAGGCGCTAGAGAATCGAACGATGTATCTCCATATAAGCCTGAGCTTTCTTCATCAAAAGGATACGCCGCAGTAAAAGAGCTGTCGCCGAAGGAAGCAAAAGTCGGGAAAGAACCTTCCGAAATAAAATCTTGGTGAGATTTTGAGGGGGAGGCGGAGGCAGGGTGGGAAGGATTAGGGGCGGAATCTTGTGCGGGGGCAGAGACAAATACCGTGAAGTCGTCGTCAAACTTGTCTTCCTTCAAAGGTTCAGGATACGACAACCCGCCTTCCTCAGACGTCGGCGACAGCGTCATCGCAGCTGATTGCGAAGTCGTCGAAGAGACCGCACGTCCCCACGGATCATTGCGACTATCACCACCATCCTCCGAGTCATCGTTACGACTCTCCCGTTCATCCTCTTCCAGCCATCGCCGAAGCTCCTCCATCTCATTCCTCATACGGACTTGTTGAGCCATCCGACTTACAGGCGTCTGAGCCGTTACAAAGTGGGCGTCGTCAATGACATCAAGGTCGGGATCATCAATTTCATCGAAAGAGTTTTGTGCCCAATCCAGTGCATTATCATCGTCTTTTCGTTGCGAACGTTTTTGTCTCTTGGTCGAAGTCTGCATTGAAGGCCACATTATTGTACTGAGGGCGTCCAGGACACGAGGCAGAGATGGGATAGCTGAATGATATGTGTATCAGTTGGGCACCTACGATGTGACTAGTAGTGTGCAGAAAAGACTGACCTTCAGCCAGAACGCTCTCATCTTCGACTCTGTCTTCATCAACGGAAGCAGGTACATCAATAAATTCAAAACCTCTCGATGACAGAAATTCGTCTATTTCACCAGAACCCTCGAATTCCACTTCTTCTTCGTCTTCGGCAGTGATGCTAGATCGCCCGTCGTCCTGATGTGACTCAATTCGTACAGCAAGGGACACCTCTAGTTCCGAGCCATTGAGGTCTCTGTCTCGACAGATACGTTGGATATGGTGTTTATAGGCCTGAATATGAAAATTGAGCAGTTACGCCGGAAATTTACTCTAGGAAACATACGTGTCCCTTCTCCCAGATGAATATCACCGCTGGAACATTCTTCAAGTGAAATGGTGCAAGTCCTTTGACGGTTCTTGCAAGAAAGTGTACTTGTGCAGAGTAATACTTGTTTGAAATGGTCCACGGCAATGCTTTTTCGTCGGAAGAACTTATCGTTGATTGCTCGTCGTGCTGCATCAGCTTGCTGAGGTCCTGAGTTTCACCGACATGTCCAGACAATGTCTGTACCTCTGTCAACACAGAGAGATGAGGAACTTCTGATAAAAGTCAAGTCCACAAAGACAGACAGACGTTGAACGAAAGAGACCGCTCTGTCCAAAGATGAGCAGAGGGTAAGAATTCGACAGGAGGTCGATAGACTAAGAGAGGAATCCATTAGATGTCGTAGATGGTGACTGGGTTGCGCTGGAGAGGCTTGTAAAGGAAAGGAAATGAAAATGAAAAGAGTAGAGCCTGCTTGTTCATGATCGTTGGTGGCAATGTGTAAGTAATCTATTCGTTACTGCCATAGAGCGCTCTCGACTCTCGACTCTCATATTTAACCAGTTATACAATATGTCATGAATTTTAGCTTGCGAGAGTGCGAGACTAATCTCAGAACTAAAATCTGACTAGACTATTTCTACAAAATCTTCATATTTTTGCTCAGTCATCATCTTGCAATGGAACACAACACGACGGAGACGCAGGAGCATTATCTATCGACGGGGGTAGGCTCAACAGTGGCGCCGTCCAGTCGCGGTGAGCCCGGGCCAGCTCCGCACTCAACCTAGCCCATCGCATCGTAATGAATGCTCTAATCGTGAAACTTTTGTTCGATAACTGATCAAGAGAGGTTGAATACAGTGTTCTAGGGCTCCTTGATACAAAACTTCGAGTTTGACACATTAGATGTTTCACACATACAATTTGGTGATTTCTTCTATCTAGTATTCAGGTAAAGGTAAAACGTAATAGTTTGAGATAGTCATCTCAGAGTGCAAGTTGTAGTGGATAATTCTATGAAAATATCTTGAAAATGAGAATATTCTCACGTTTAGGGCTCCTTGAGACAGGCCAAATTTGGCAGGCAGAATATCACCGTCAAAAGTATTTTGTTTATTTTACCCATGTATGTTACTTTGGAAAGGAAGGAAAGGAAAACCGACACGGTCCCATTGAGGAACAGCCGGGGCCCATGCTACACACACTGCGCTAGATGTGTGACATGGATGTACATAACCAACAATGCTGTGATCAGTGGGTTAGCACTGTCGCACAATCATCGGTTAAGCACACGACAGACTACAAGTACTGCGCACTGGAATTTGTGATGTGTATTTGAGACATTCATTAAGCATCAGTGTACAGGTGAGAGTCTGGTATGTATGGTTCGCGCCCTGCAAAGACAGCAAGTACATCATAGACATATTTAGCAGTCAGAGTAAGAACATGTCGGTCAAATAGTACACGTTGTAAAAGGGCATAACTTGAGAGTTGGTGCTGCATCAGAACAATGTCCGGTGCTGTTCGGTCCATTTGTTAAGATCATGTACACCGTGTAACCGTGCCAAAGCTACAAGGTGTCTAAGTGCGGAAGACGAGTGGGACAGTAGTGAAGTTATTAACAACACCGCCGTTACGCCGTTAGTCCCCGGAGATCGAGAGTAGAGAGAGAGGAGCTAAGTAGCAGCCAGGTCGGAGCGGCAGTATCGCCGGTGACGAGGAGCGAACCAGAGAACGTCTAAGTCCTAAGGTTATAGTAGAGAGTACTTCAAGGCGGAGAGCCTGAAGACTTAGAGGAGCACAGAGTTAAGGAGGGAATCTAAGTCGATAATTAAACTGAGGAACTACAGTAGCGTACAGGCAGTATTTATATCTACGGATCGGCGCATCGGTGCGGAGCGCCAGACTAACTACTAGGAGCTATACGAGTAGTACCTACAGGGTAGAGTAAAAGACAATAAGGAGGGACTAGAACGAAAGGGTATGTGTAGCGAGAAAGAACAATAAGAGTGAGATTACAATAAAGAGCAGATCTTCGGAGTACCGAGCGGCGGAATGGAGGCCCGCGGCATGGACTTGACAGTATCCCCCTCTTAGGCTTGAGCCCTCGAAAGCCATTAATACCGGGAGTTGGTTAGTCACCAAGGAAAAATTTTTAAAGGTCGTCAGCATCGGGAATTAGGCCTATCAGTCAGCAGGAAAATTTCCAAAAGCTGTTGGTACCGGGAATTGGCGTTAGTCATCAGTGAAAATTTTCGGTTCACCGTAAACCAAACACAATTCGAAGGAAAATTTTCGCTGGTCCGTGCGCAGTTTTTTGCCGTATAAAAGGTCCAGAGTTTCGCCGAAAAGGCCCAAGTTCCCAAAACTTCTAAGTTCGAAACATGACCACTAGCCGCACCACTACTACCACCGTCTCTTCCACCGCCGGGCCTTCGAGGCCACGACCTGCCCCTCCGCCGCCCATCGACCTTACCGCTCATGACGAAGAAGGATTGGAGGAGGAAGATGAATACGACATCATTCATAAGGCGCAGGAAAGAGTGGAGAGGGTGAGGGCGAGGAAGGCGGCGGCAGCGGCGAAGAAGGCCGCAGAGGAAAAAGCTGCAAGGGCGGCAGCAGTCAGAGAGCAAGCGGTGCAGGAGGCGCGAGAGCGGGCCATTTGGGCTCGTCAGCAAGAAGAAGAGGTTTTGGAACGGAGGAGGCTGTTGGCCGAGGCGGCGACCGCCAGAAGTCAGAGGGAGACTTCTCCAAGTGAAGTGTCTGCTTCCCCAAGGAGGCCTGTGGTGGAACTTCGGCGAGCGGCGAAAGGAAAAGGGAAGGCAAATGCCCAGGTGAGTCAAGGTTTTGTGGTTCCACCCCCCTTACTAACGTTTTTTGTTTCTAGCTGGTGGGCGGAGATCCCGACGACGGCGATGACGGGGACGACGACGACGATGACGAAGAAGACCGCGCACCTTGCGAATGGTGCAAGACCAAAAAACTCCCTTGCCAAATGCAGGCAGGCAAGAGGAGTTCGATCATTTGTAAGCCCTGTCACGATGCCAAGGTGAGGTGTTCCTACTCGGGGCGCCCCACAACCTCGAAACAACGGGAAGGCGGTTCCGGCGAACGAATCGCCGTCTTGGAGAGCCAAATGGCTCAGAGTCTGGCGGACAGCCGGGCGCTACGAGAGGCGGACTCGAAAACCCACCAATACCTCTGCCAACTGTTGAGGAGGCAAGAGGACGGCCATGCCCGCCTGATAGCCATGGAGATGAGAATGGCAATGATGGGAATGGGAGGAGGATCGGCGACGGCTGGACCGTCGAGGGGAACTACCAAGCGGCAGCGTCTGCTGAAGCGGTGGAGGGTTGTGAGGGAGAGTGACGAAGAAGAGGAGGAGGAAAAAGAAGTGCAGCAAGGTATGGAAGAAGATGGAGAAGGAGAAGTAGAGGAGGAAAGAGGAGAGATGGAGGTAGAGGAAGGAGGAGAGGGGGAGGCACCGGCGCCGACAGTGACCTCTGACAAGGGAAAGGAGAAGGAGTTAGTAGAGTAGTAGAGTCACGGACATCGGACATCGGCCCCTCGGGCCTCTTCTTGTAATCTTCCTGCCATCTTGCTCCCTTCTACTTATACTTTTTTTTTGTTTTTGTATGTAAAAAATGTCAACGTGATTTTAGAATCGGAAAAGCAAATGGGCCGCAAGGCGGCGTAAGAAGTAATTAGTTTAGTATAAGTAGTGTAAGTGTAAATGGAAAATAAGTGAAAACTGTGATTAAAGAAACCATAATAAGCAAATAAGAGAGAGAGGTAAACACTCAATTTACTATCATCGTGTTTACCCTCTAAACACACGAAGTAAACTTCGGCGGAGCAAGGCGGGAACGGGACAAAGGAATAAAATGTTTTTGTGTGATCAAGGTCCAGGCTTGTGAGGATATCGGGCGTGGAATGCCGGTACAAGTTCGTCAGCGTGTAATTCATCAGCAGCAACCCAAGAGAACTCATCGACGGTACCTTCATAACCGGCCCACCGAATGTAATAACGTAGAGGGCAACGTTTATACCTTCTGTCCAGCTTGGAGTCCAGGATTTCGGCAACATTGTACTCCTCTTCACCATCAACTTCAATTGGAGGTGGAGGAGATTGAGTACGATTCGGAAATAGATTCGGCGTAACCGGCTCCAGCTGTGAGACGTGGAAAACCGGGTGAATGCGGCGAAGATAGTCCGGGAGCTTGAGCTCGTAAGATAGAGTACCAGGTCGACTGATGACCTTGAAAGGACCAAGATATTTTTCAGAGAATTTTTCAGTAGGACGAGTAGATCGAATATGCTTAGCAAGAACAAATACTTCGGAGCCGATCGGGAACTCCGGGTGCGAGATTCTTTTCCTGTCAGCTTGTTCCTTATAACGGGACTGAGCTAAAAGGATTTCCTCTCGAAGGAAAGCGTGGAGTTCATCGAGGTTGACGACGAAGTCTCTAGCTAGATCAGACTTCATATCGACCTCGGGCCGAACGGTGATATTTGGGTGGTATCCTTTGTTAGCGAAGAATGGAGTAATACCAGTGGAAGCATTGGGAGCGTTGTTATAGGCGAACTCGGCGATCGGAAGTAAAGGCGACCAGTCATCCTGTTGGTAGGAGCAATAGATCCTGATGTACTGTTCGAGAGTCTGATTGACACGCTCAGTCTGCCCATCAGCTTCCGGATGATATCCAGAGGTATAGTGAAGTTCCATGGAGAGCGCTTTACCGAGAGCCCGGAAAAATGCCGAAACAAATTCGGAACCACAATCGGAAGTAACATGATTAGGAACACCATGCTTAGAGAAGACGTGAATAACAAAAAGCTCAGCTAGTTGTTCGGAAGTAATGGTGTCGTGAGTTGGAATAAATATAGCTTGCTTGGAAGATCGATCCACGACGACGAGGATAGCGGTGTAACCATTCGACATTGGCAGTTGCTCAATGAAGTCCATGGAGATGGAATCCCATGGTCGGACCGGAACCGGCAGAGGCTTCAACAAGCCGTAAGGCTGATGATGGCGGGGCTTATTGCGACCACAGATAGTGCAAGAGGTAACGTAGTCACGAACAAAGTCTCTGACCTTGGGCCAGGTGTATTGACGACGTACCGCTTCTAGAGTGCGGTTCTGGCCGAAATGGCCGGAAAGTGGATGATCATGGAAATAGCGGAGGACTTGA